GCAGACACTATAGGTAAGCTGACCTGACACCCATTCTGAAACCCATTCCCTTTTGCAATCTCTATTATAGAGGCTGGAAAAGCTAAATGACAATAGTAAAACCTTACTTCCCCAGATTCTCTTATATTTGGGAATCTGCTGGCCACTGTCACAAGAGTGGAAGCCTGGTAGATCACTCTATTACTTCTTCTAGCCTTGTTGGAGCACAAGGAAATACCAAGATTATTTTAGAGGTTCTGGACTTACAGATATGGACAGACAACCCTCTATTTGTTTAAGCTACTATTAGCCAGCCATCTGTAACTGAAACACATGCCATTATTATTGTTACTGCTATTTATGAAAAGGTATGAGAAATCAGGCATACTGCTTATCCTTAGGAAGGATAACTTTGCAATACATAACAAAAATGTAAAATGTACACATTAGATCTAGAATTTCAACTCTAGGGCTTTACCCTAAGAAAATAATCAGGAAAGGGTTGAAGATGTCACGGAAAGACATTCATTGGATAAACAGCCAATATCACAGGTAGAATCAGCATAGCCCCTTATTTTTAAAATTATATAGCATGGAAAAAATGGAGCTAGGGACATTAAAGGTCAGCTCAGCACATTAGACATGGGGTGGTTTGGATAGGTAAATTATTTAACATCTCAAGAGTTTTGGTTTTCCAGGCCAGTTGTGGCTCACACCTATATTCCAGCACTTTCGGAGCCTAAGGTGATAGAACTGCCTGAGGCCAGGAGTTTAAGACCAGCCTGGGCAACACAGCAAGACCCTGTCTCTACAAAATTTTTTTTAAATTAGTCAGGCATGATGGCATGTGCCTGTAGTCCTAACTACTCAGGAGGTTGAGGCAGGAGTACTACTTGAGTCCCAGAGTTCAAGGTTACAGTGAGCTATGATTATGCCACTGTACTTCAGCCTGGGTGAGGGCATGATCCTCTCTTAAGAAAAGAAAAGTTTTACTTTTCTCATCTATAAAAATTAGGTCTAATAACCCCATGTAACAATGCTGCATAATAAACTTCCCCCAGTCTTATGGCTTATAAGCATTTATTTCCCCCCTCATAAATCTGTGAGTCAGCTGGGCAGCCATATATTGGTCTGCTCAATACATTTTTCTCTTCTCCTATAGGTCAGGGGAGCATAAAAACTAAGTCAAATCAAAACAGCCTGTTTGAAGCTTCTGCATGTGTCTGTTAACATTCTGCTGTTTAAGCCCAACATAAAAAACAGCAGGGAAGCATACTCCCCTCTAGCTGAGGAGGGGAGCAAAGTGATTAATTCTGATGAATAGTTCTAACTAAGAAATGAGGATAAAAACATGAAAAAAAAACTTTTTTTTTCCATGATTGTTTTTAGGATTAAACTGAACATGGAAAGCATCTAGTACAATTCTCAATAATTATTATAATAAACCCCAGAGGGAGAGTTTGGCAACTTTTCACAATGTAACAACACTGTCTCAACTTCAAAATTCCTTATCTGGTATATTCTATGAAATCTTCAGAAGCTATTATTTCCACATCATTGACTCTTCTTTATTCCTATAGATACAGATGACTTCTGCCAAGATGCCAAATAGAAAGAGCTCCAGAGCGCAGCTCCCAGCGAGAGGGACGCAGAAGGTGAGTGATCTCTGAATTTCCAGTTGAGATACCAGGTTCATTTCAATGGCAATGGCTGAACAGTGGGTGTAGCTCAAAGAAGTTGAACCAAGGCAGTGCAGGGTGCTGCCTCACCTGGCAAGTGCAATGGACCATATGATCTGGGACTTCTCCCTTCCCCTACCCCCCACCCCCACACTCTGGTTCAGATACTGCGCTTCTCTCAAGCCCTCTGCAACCCACAGACCAGGAGATCCCTGCCAAAAGCACTGCAAGTTATCAGCACAAATCTGAGCAGCAGCTCCGGCGGGCACCACAGGTTGTCAGCACAAATCTGGACGAGAGATCTGACTAGCACTGAGAGCACCTGCTGGACAAAGCTACTCACCCCCGAGAAAGAGGGAGAGCTGAAAGCAGGGAGACAGGTGATACAGCTTGGCAGATCCCACCCCGACAAAGCCCAGAAAACTGAAGCCCTCTCACTAAAGAGTTTTGCAGCCAGCACATCAGTTTGAGCTCGACCAGGGACGATCAAGCTTGGTAGGAGAAAGGGAGTCCACTATTGTGAAGGTGGGGCTAACTGCACCTGAGTGAACAAAAGCCAGAGGAAGCCTATATAGCAGCCAGGCTGAGGCTGAGGCAGCCCAGCAGCACTACAGCAGGCAAACAAGGGACAGACCACATCCTCAAGCAGCTCCCTGACCCCTGTGGAACCAAAAAAATGCCTCATACAGGCTACACTAGATGGGTACCCTTCTGGGGCGAAGCTACCAGAGGAAAGATCAGTCAACAATCCTCGCTGCTCCGCAGCCCCCATGGGTGATTCCCAGGCAACCAAGGCCTGGAGTGGACCTCCAGTAGTCGTAGAGAAGAAGGGCCTCTTAAAAGGAAAACTAAAAAACAAAAAGAAATAGCCTCAACATCAACAGAAAGGACGTCCACTCAGGGACCCCATCTGAAATCACCAACTTCAAAGATCAAAGGTAGATAAATCCATGAAGATGGGAAGAAACCAACATAAAAAGGATGAAATCATTAAAGACCAGAACACCTCTAGTCCACCAAGGGATCATAACTCCTCAGCAGCAAGGGAACAAAACAGGATTAAGAATGAGTTTGACAAACTGACAGAAGCAGGCTTCAGAAGGTGGGTAATAACAAACTTCTCTGAGCTAAAGGAACATGGAGTTCTAACCCAATGAAAAGAAACTAAAAACTGTGAAAAAAAGGTTAGACAAAATGCTAAATAGAATAACCAGCTTAGAGAAGAACATATACAACTTGATGGAGCTGAAAAACACAGCACAATAACTTTGCGAAGCATACACAAGTTTCAATAGCCAAATCGATCAAGCAGAAGAAAGGATATCAGAGATCGAAGATCAACTTAATGAAATAAAACAAGAAGGCAAAATTAGAGAAAAAAGAGCGAAAACAAATGAACAAAGCCTCCAAGAAATATGGGATTATGTGAAAAGACCTTATCTACACTTGATTGGTGTACCTGAATGTGATGGAGAGAATGAATCCAAGCTGGAAAACACTCTTCAGGATATTATCCAGGAGAACTTCTCCAACCTAGGAAGGCAGGCCAATATTCAAATCGAGGAAATACAGAGAACATCACAAAGGTACTCCTCAAGAACAGCAACCCCAGGGCCGGGCGCGGTGGCTCAAGCCTGTAATCCCAGCAGTGTGGGAGACCGAGGCAGGTGGATCACGAGTTCAAGAGATCAAGACCATCCTGGTCAACATGGTGAAACTCCATCTCTACTAAAAATACAAAAAATTAGCTGGGCATGGTGGCGCGTGCCTGTAGTCCCGGCTACTCGGGAGGCTGAGGCAGGAAAATTGCCTGAACCCAGGAGGCGGAGGTTGCGGTGAGCTGAGATGGCGCCACTGCACTCCAGCCTGGGTAACAAGAGCAAAACTCCATCTCAAAAAAAAAGAACAGCAACCCCAAGGCACATAATCATCAGATTCACCAGGGTTGAAATGAAGAAAATAATGCTAAGGGCAGTCAGAGAGAAAGGTCGGGTCACCTACAAAGGGAAGCCCATTAGACTCACAGTGGATCTCTCAGCAGAAACCTTACAAGCCAGAAAACAGTGGGGGCCAATATTCAACATCCTTAAAGAAAAGAACTTTCAACCCCAATTTCATATCCAGCCAAACTAAGTTTTATAAGTAAAGGAGAAATAAAATCCTTTACGGACAAGCAGTTGCTGAGAGATTCCATCGCTACCATACCAGCCTTATAAGAGCTCCTGAAGGAAGCACTGAACATAGAAAGAAACAACCAGTACCAGCCACTGCAAAAACATACCAAATGGTAAAGACCAACGACACAATGAAGAAACAGCATCAACTAACAGGCAAAACAACCAGCCAGTAACAAAATGGCAGGATCAAATTCACACATAACAATATTACCGTTAAATGTAAATGGCCTAAATGCCCAGTCAAAAGACACAGCCTGGCAAACTGAATAAAAAGTCAAGACCCAACAATGTGCTGTATCCAGGAGACCCACCCCAGGTGCAAAGACACACATAGACCGCAAATAAAGGGATGGAAGATTTACCAAGCAAATGAAGAGCAAAAAAAGGCAGGAGTTGCAATCTAATAAAACAGACTTTAAACCAACAAAGATCAAAAGAGACAAAGAAGGACATTACATAATGGTAAGAGGATCAATGCAACAAGAAGAGCTAACTATCCTCAATATATATGTACCCAATACAGGAGCACCCAGATATATAAAGCAAGTTCTTAATGACCTACAAAGAGACTTAGACTCTCACACAAAAATAGTGGGAGACTTTAACACTCTACTGTCAATATTAAACAGATCAACACAAAGAAAATGTGGCACATATACACCATGGAATACTACGCAGCCATAAAAAACAATGAGTTTGTGGCCTTTGTAGGGACATGGATGAATCTAGAAACCATCATTCTCAGCAAACTGACACAAGAACAGAAAATCAAACACTGAATGTTCTCATTCACAGGTGGGTGCTGAACAATGAGAACACATGGACACAGGGAGGGGAGCATCACACACAGGGGTATGTTGGGGGGGCAGGGGGCTAGGGGAGGGACAGCAGGGGACAGGGAGTTTGCAGAGGGATAACACGGGGAGATATGGCTGATGTAGGTGAGGAGGGGATGGAGACAGCAAACTACCATGGCATGTGTGTACCTATGCAACAATCCTGCCAGGTCTGCACATGTATCCCAGAACTTAAAGCATAATAGAAAAAGAAAAAATCCAAGAATTTAAATAATCATGATTAGTTTTATGTATTGCAAAGAGAAATGTGATAGGAAAATATACAGTTAAAATGAATTCTAATGATAAGAAAGGAGGAATAAAATTACCTTTGCTGATAAATAGTGCTTGTAGTAGTACAACTGAAACAGCAGAAATGCAGAACTTGTCAGTGTTAAAAGGGCCAAAACCACGTTCTTATTGATTCTACTCATTAGTCTGTGGTGCGCACTTGGTTGTCTTTTGAAAGTAACTCAGTCGTTTTCATCTTTTTGGATTTGGAAAGGAAGATAATTTTGTTTTCTGTGAACAAAAAAGATATTTCTAAAGAAACAAAAACCTCTTTAATTTCTCACCTCTAATAACAAACAACAGAACAAAGAAAAAATTAAATTTCTAGAGGCATTCTTTGATCTGGTCATTTTCTATGCTAAAGAAACAATCAAATATGGGATCAATAATGAAAGAACAAAAATGTTTATCATGGCATTTTTTTTAATAACTGAAAATATAAATAGATACCTATACAAACTGACCAACAAAGCTTGAGAAGTGCTTTTCTCCTCCAGTTTCTGATTCAGTAAATCTGGTATGAGACCTCTGAATTTGCATTTCTGACAAGTTCCCAAATGATGCTGATGCTGCTGACAACGCTGAGAACCACTGCCAAAGAAGAAACTGAGAACGTTTTTTCTGTCAAGGAACATGGCCTGTGAGGCAGCTCTTCGATGCTTTTTGAGTTTGTGTGTGATCTAGGATGTGGTCAGTTTTTCTTAATACTCCATGCATGTTTTCAGTTTTTTCAACTGTAAATAATGCCACAATAAACATTTTGTTCTTTTATCTTAGGTCTCATCTCTGATTATTTCTCTAGAGTAAGAAATTTGATACAGTTCTATTTCCTCCTAACTTATCTCCACTGTTTGATTTTGGTTAAATATCTTTAGTTCTTCAAGTGCTTATATTTATTCCTTCAATTCTTCAAATATACTAATACCTACTCTTGATATCTTTATGTCTTTTGTTCTCCAGCCATAAAATAAGAAGAAATCAACAAATATGCCCTGAACTGCAAAACAAAATAGGAGACTGAGTAGCAAATTGGCAGGCATGAAGAGAAAATGCCTCTGGAAATGCATTCAGAGGTAAGACAAAAAAATAAACAAACATTTTTCAGCTGTTCTCAAAAGCCAAAAATACGCCAGTAGCAACAGCTACCATCAAAATGTCCCTAAATACTGTTGGTCTTTCTCACTGTCTATTTATTTTCCTTTCACTTCTAACTTCTCATAACTGTCAGCAGTTAGGAAGTAAACATTAGACTGAAAGGGGTTAAGACGTCTCTTTTATCTGCGTACCACTCATGCACTTCTTCATCCTTTGCAAAATAACCTCTACCTAAACATGCTGACACTTGAAGATAAAAAGCTAATGAAATTTAGTCTCTCCAGTAGATGTTCCAGAAAAATCATGAATACATAGTGACTCCCTTCTGAATGGCTATGGTGTAAGAGGGTTTTGAAAAGAGAGTGACTGAAATGAAAGCTCTAGATAAGACAGGTTAGCAACGGATGTGAAGACAGGAAGGATGGTCTTTGGGTTGGTAAGAGTGTAAGAGGTTTTATTTGTTTTCCTTATTGTTTATGTTATGTGAACATCAATTGATTTTGTAATAAGAAAAAACTACTAAGTTTTTTTAAACTTTAAAAATTCTTCTCTCATCCTAAATGAAATGACAAATATTCATTTATTAGAGCCCACATGCATTATAAGGTTTAATTATGCTAATGTCTCCCCATTTCTGGAGTAACAAAAGCTTTTATTTTTTTAAGAAATGGGGTCTTGCTCTGTCACCCAGGCTGGAGTGCAGTGTCACAATCATAGCTCCCTGCTGCCTCAAACTGCTAGTAACAAGCAATCCTTCCACCTCAGCCTCTTGAGCACCTGAGATTATAGGCATGAGACACTATGCCGGGCTCCCAAGTTATTTTTAAGCGACTTCCTCAAGAATTCAAGTACTTAATTGCTTGGTTGCAGACACTTGGGTATTAATCTTAATAAAACCATACAACAAATAGAGTCAAACACAGGGCTTAGAGCATATAATGTACTTAGTGCAACATTGAAATTGTGAATGTATGTACATATGTCAAATCTGGATGAATGGTCCTGAAAATATTAATAATGTTTATCTCTGGGTGGGGAGAATTAGGAGTGATTTCTACATGGTTCTTTATACTTTTCTATATTGTTCCAATATTTTTATGGGCACATATTATTTTCATAAGGAGTAATTATTTTATCTTAAGGGAAACAGATAATGGGTGGTGGTAGTGGCTTAATAATTGCCATATTTGCTAAACAGGATCAAGAACATCAGCATCACATTGGAGCTTGTTAGAAATATGGAATTTTCAGGCCCTATTCACTGATTCATAATCTACATTTTAATAAAATCCTCAGATGATTCATATGTACATTAAAATTTGAAAAGCTCTGATCTAAATGCTAAGGGTTTTACATGCAGAGAGGATAAGAACAATGTCTACCTTGTTCATCATTATATCCCTAGCACCAGCAGTGCTTGAAACATATAAATATTTGTTGAATAAATAAATACATAAATAATATCACTTCTGGGTAGACAATTAGAAAGGCAATGGAGATTTTATCTATTTGAATTATTTATTTTCTGCGAGTATTCCCAAAAGTAGGTGCTTATCGTTTGCTGCAAATGCTGTTAAATTAGTTTAATAACAAAGGTGGGCCCCTGAAAACCTACAATTATATGTAACTATTTTTGTAAAAGGACTCCTTGCTCTTAGCTCTGAGATCCATATGCCTCCTTCAATAATTTCTCTAGCCTCCTATCTGTAGGAATAGCCTACAGTTACTCTCTCTACAATCTCTCCCTCAAAACAAATCAATTCTCAACATTTTAACTACCACCTGTGAGAGAAAACACTATTTAAATTACAGTCTATGCACTCAATCTGCCTATGTTTTCAACTATATTTCCTGTACCTCACCTCAAATTTAGCATGTTAAAAATTAACAATTTTTTTTTGAGATGGAGTTTCCCTCTTGTCCAGGCTGGAGTACAGTGGCCTGATCTTGGCTCACTATAACCTCTGCCTCCTGAGTTCAAGCAATTCTCCTGCCCCAGCCTCCCAAGTAGCTGGGATTACAGGCACCCGCCACCAAGCCTGGCTATTTTTTTGTATTTTTAGTAGGGATAGGGTTTCACAATGTTGGCCAGGCTGGTCTTGAACTCCTGATCTCAGGTGACCACCCACCTCGGCCTCCCAAACTTCTGGGATTACAGGCGTGAGCTACCGCATCCGGCCCAAAATTAACAATTTTATTCTCTGTCAACTATCTTCCTCTCCCCCTCCAGAAGAAAGTGGCTCACTCTCCATCCTCACAGTCTCTAGTTTTACAGGCTTTAGACAAGAGAGAGCAGCTGACCCAGCATCACCCTGTGGAGAATAGGCTCTAGAAGAATTAAATGACAGCCAAAAGGCTAGTTATTGGCAACATCAGCACTCTACAATCTAAATTACGTTATTCCCAATACACTATTGCATGCTGGAATTCAATAGAATTCCCATTTTTGCCAACAGCACTTAAACTTACTTTTTAGAAACCCAGGTTAAAAATACTGTCACCTAGATCCAAGAACCCAAAATCCTGTGTATTGTTCTTTGGGCATTTTCCTGGTTCCTTTTTTCTTCCTTGTCAGAACATCCTGCATTTCTTTCCACTTGCGGTTCTTTCATCATTCAATGCCAGCCTTCCCAAATCCTCTACCCTCACTAAACATATGTCCACAAACAGAATATAATATTCCTACCTTTGATATCTTCGTCCATGGCCCAACAGAGATGGTTTCCAATCACTCAAACCCTATTCATCCTCATAGTCTAGCTCAAACACAACTTTTTCTACTGAGCTTCCATGTGCCCAATTTCTAAGGTACTGCTCTATCATTCACTTCGATATTAGTATAGGTTGATTTTTACTCACTGGAAACGTGCTATCTTCAAAAGCATAAAGAATCTGATATACCATCTAGGTCCTTTTTTTTTTTTTTTTTAAACATCTGAGAAAACGGAATCCAAGAGAAAAGGGGGTTACCTCATGCTAATTTAGAAATTAGAAATTTCAGGCCGGGAGCGCTGGCTCACGCCTGTAATCCCAGCACTTTGGGAAGCCGAGGCGGAAGGATCACCTGAGGTCAGGTGTCACTAGGGCAACCCTGCTACTACAAGAGTCTCGATCGCCCTCTAAACTTTCACCTGTCCCAGGAGGTAGATTTTACCTGATCCCAGAAGTGTGGGAAGGACTGGCCAAGTGGAAGTCTACCACGCAATGCTCGTGGACTGACTGAGGGGTACCCAGCCCGGAGCGCACTCAGCCTGTGGCCGGCCTCCCCGCCAAGGGGTAGGCAGGTGCCCAGAATACTGGAGGATGTCCGGTAAGGGCACCCGAGCCACCAGCGGCACCTGTTTGAAGGCGCCCACCTATCCCCAACTACGGAGCTGAGACTCCCATACGTTACCTCCACTCAACAGCAGTTGCAGCCGCTCCGCTTTACGGCATTCACAGCAATCACTGCAAAAGCGGCCGTCAAGTGCTGAGCCGCGGAGGCTGGCTGAGTTCCAGCCGGGAGATTCCCACGGTCCAGTGCCCGCCTCGGCTTGTCTGTGGCTCGTGTCGCATCTTCACCGCCAGAAATTTACTGAGCCCTGGCGATTCCTCGCTTTTAGAATCTAGACACTTTGCCAAAGCCCTCTTATCTCTTGTCTAATTAACAACTACAGCACCGCACTGAGGCAGTCTCAGATTTTAAGAAAATTCTCAAAACTTTTCGGCAGCGGACGATGAACTGGAGGTGGCAGCTGAGCTGTTTTCCAAAGCGTATGAGTTTAGATAAGAATGCTCATTAAATGTGAGCTTCTGATACGCGAATGATTTTTTAGTGCGTGTGCTTCGCTGAGAGGGATTCAGCATAACTCCCTGAATTTTGGTTTGGATACAATTAGTAGAGATAGGGGATAGAGTGGAAAATAGCAGCAGCTCATGGAGCTGAGGTGCCTTTATGACATCCAAGATCCAGCGGCCTGTTGCCCTCCAGTTTCAGGCTGGATACAATTTTGGACCTAATTCTTTAACTTTTTTATTTTCTTTTTTATTTTTTTTGTAGAGACGTTGGGGACTAACAGAGGAGGGAGCGGGGGTCCTCACCCTGTTGCCCAGGCTGGTCTCAAACTCCTGGCCTCAAGCGATCTTCCCACCTTGGTTAACTTTTAACGGTGGATTTTTATTAACAAAAATCCAAAAGATTGTTGTTAAGGCTCAGTTATTAATCTTGTTATAAATTTTTTAAAACCATAAAGCATTAAACCAGTTACTGTAATAATTTATTTCTACAAAACGGAAAATACTTTCGTCATATATTTGTTTTCTAAGCTTTGTTTTTTAAAAATTCTATCAATACAGAAAAAAGGAAGTCTTCCTCATTTCCTAGAGGTTATCACTTTTACCAACGTTTTGTTTCTCCTTGTCAAATCATTCCTTCGTACATACAAGCTTACTGTAGAAGTTCTATCCAACACACTCAGAACTGGTACTCGGTAGGTTAATTTTTTTAAAAAAGTAGGTTGCATCAAGAGGAAAGAAGTTATCAAAGCCTAATGGTATTAACAGAGGTGCTAATGTGATGGAACATGGGAAAATTTGAGCATCGCATACCTGCTATTGATTGAAACACATAAAATATAAAAATTCTGGAGTTTCCAATGGATCCTTAAAAAATAAAATTCAGTCATGATTGAAGATTGCCAGGTTAAAGATTAAATATTCTGAAACCTGATAAAGGGAAAACATCAGGCATTTATCCTGCCTTTCTTGTATATGAACTGATTTTCAGTGTAACCAAAATGCTTATAAGAATTCCAGGTAATAAATGGAGAATGATAAAACAATCATGATTTTGCAATTTCTAATGAAATAATAGAAAGGGCAACATCAATAGATGCTAAAATTAAGGTGAAAGGTTGATGGGGAACTTCATAATAGACTGGCACCACCTGAACCCATTGATGAATCTTAATCTCACTAAGTTTGGGACAAGCATATATTATGTACTTCCTGATGCGATGGAAAGTATGCAGCCACACCTGTGAAGGATTCTTGCCTAAAAATTGAACCTGCATTTACTCAAACTCTAGATCTAACACAGGATATAGAGAAGCAACCAGTTAAATTCAGAAAACAGGACGTTCTACAAGACAAATGCCTCCGTTTTTTAATCAATGGCATTTAAAAGCAGAAGGAGCTACACAAAACTCAAATATTTAAGGGGTGTAATGAAGTACAATGTGTGGACCCTGACTGAATCCTGATTTGAACAAGCTAACCGTAAAAAGATGTTTTTGAGACAACTGAAATTTTAGTATTGACTGATCCATTAGATAATAGTACAGAATTACTGTTAATTTGGCTAAGAATGTTAACAGAATGTGGCTGTTTTTAAAAAGCCATCATTGATGCATCTAGCATACTTACAGGTGACATTTTAAAACAAAATAGATGGCACAAAACATGGCAAAATTAACAATTGATAACCTAGGTGATGAGCACAAAGCACTGGCTTTTTACTTTTCTGTATATACTTGGAAATTAAAAGTAACAGGGAAAGGGAGAAATTATCAGGTTCTTAGAAGTAAATACTTTTCAAGTGTATAACAAATCTAGTTCTGAATAAATCTTTTAAAAAGCAGTTTCAGTACAGGGTTACAATGGCCAATCTGATTTGAACTAAGTTCATATTAAGTATGGACCAACTGATTGGAGTATCTCACTGTTTTTCTTACAAAACCACAGACATAATGCATCATCCATCATTTCTTGTTTCTGTTTCTGTAAAATGGATGAGGAATTTAAAGACACAAGTGAAGGAAGATCAATGTGGAGTCCGGGAATTTTTAAACAAAAATCTTCCCCATCGCTCGCAATTATTTTGGCCACAACTAACTTATCAGCAGTTTTTTAAACACTTCATCTATAATGGTTCCCCCACTTTCCTTATAAGTAACTTTTCATACTCATTTCATATTTATATATTTACATTATATAATTGGTTTACATACTTACATAATTACAACTATGACTGCCACCTGCATAGGCACGTTTTCGAACAAACAGAACTGAAGGTAAATATACAACTCAACTGGGGGCAGTGCTACTTCTCAAGCATACTGAGAGGTCAAATGTGAGCCCTCAGCTCATGGCAAACGTCAGTCAGTATGCTTTAATCTAGTTAGCAAATTCAGTTGAAAGAGGGGGTATAAGGATTCGTAAAACAGCCTCCCTTATAAGTAAATATTCATATTCTATAAACCACTCAGCTCTGCACACATCCAAGCACCCTGGCCCACTCCTAACATTTGCAGGGTCTGGGGCAAGAATACAAATGGAAGCCAACCCTGACGTATTTTCAGTGTCTAAACAGCTGAGTGTTAACCAACAAATAAAATGTTATACTCTTCTACTTCAACACGTATTTATTCTCAGGGAACAGAAATCTAGATTCAAATATGCAATTTGCAGATTCTTCAGATGTGTACCAGAAAGTGACAGTAGGTTGGCCTGCCCTTCCCTGAGCCCCTGGATCTCTTTTTACTTCTAGCTTCAGCCTGCCACAAGGGGCCTGTCATGCATGCATGTGGACAACTCAGTCTGCATAAAAAGCTTCATCTGCACTTCCCACAAACTGCCAGCCATAGGGGTATATGCATCTGTAGTAGTCTTTTATCAGGATGGATTTGGACAAGATAACTGCACGTATGCTGGAGGCAAGCTTCAAGCTGACTGGGCAAGAAATTCTGGGGTCCTGGCTATCTGATAACAGTATAGAAGTCAGTGAAGGAACATGCATTCCAAGTAGGTGTAATCTCTTGGCTCCTCAATTTTTCATCCCATGAAGAAAGGCATAGCAAGAGTGTGGGGATCAGATTAGTTAGCTTGCCTTAGGTAGGTAACAAGGGAAGGGTTCCGGAGAACCCTCGGCCCATGGGTCAGTGCTCCATCCCATAACATAAAACAGCCTGGGAAAAAACTCAAGCTGCAGGCACCAACAAGGGAACTAGCACAGGGTGTTGTGCCTGGAGGCATGCCCATGGCTGCACAGATAGAAAAACCTACAGCCCATTTGGATAAAAACTTGCACAAACCTCCAGCTCACTCAGATAAAGGAACAAGGCCTGGCATAGAAATGACTTTGTCCTTCCTACAGTCAGCAGGTTCCCAGGAAAGTTTCTTTTCCTTTTGTAGGTATGGGCACAATGGGATCCAGTAGGTTCCAGTGGGTAGTCTACTTTCCTTTATTAGGACTCTAAGACTGGATTCTATGCATCATCACCTCAACCCGATTGGTCCCGGGCCAAACTTTCACTCCAGCTTCTGATAGTTCCTGGGCCAGGCTACGCAGCATCTATGAATCATCATTTCAGCTCCTGACTGGTCCCAGGCCAAGCTGAGTCACACGTTCACCAAGATAGCCCACAGACTAAGCATATTCTTTAGTCTGTGGGCTGTCCCCTTCTGTTCATAAAAACCCTGGACTCCAGCCTCATGGTGGGTACTCCCATTCAGGACCCCTTCTCTGCTGGCAGAGAGCTTTCTTCTTTCACTTACTAAACTTTTGTTCTAACCTCACCTTTGTGTCCACAATCCATAATCGTCTTGGAGGTAGGACAAGAAATCAGGGTGTTATCTCAGGCAATGAAAGACTGTTTCAACAACATAGTATAGAAGAGGGTAAGGGAATATGCATTCCAAGTAGGTATAATCTCTTGGCTCAGTTTTTCACCCCATGAAGAGAGGCACAGCAAGTGTGTGGGGATCAGGTCAGGGTCCCCTCTTACCCAAGCATAAATGCATGCACACACTCATGGTATCATACTCTATATATTGCTCGATGACTTTCTGTTTAATCATCTCACGGTTAAATACACTTCTATTAACAGCATGTCCTTTAACAGCTGTGTAAGAGCTCATGGAAATACCACAGTCTAACTATCTGCTGTTGTGCTGACCTTGTGCAAAAACAAACAAAAAATACAAGTACCATGCACTGTAAGTGTAAAATGGAGTTTAGTAAGGAAAAGTTTGGGCAGAAAAGTAGAGTGCACATAATAGCCTGAGCTCTTATGCCACAGAAATCCCAGCCAGGCAAAATTGGGCTGGTATACCAAGGAAAAGGCTTCAGTTAAGTAAGCCAACTGTCATAATGGTCTATATAACATTTATTGGGGGAGGGGAATGTGCAGAATATATAATATCTAGACCACAACTTAATAATGGTAATTTGTTACTGCAGCAAGTTAGAAAAGGGGAGCCTTCAAAATTCTGTTATCATATTCTTTTGTTGAGGCAACTTAGGCCTTTTTAACCAGTTCTTTGCCTTGCTACCAAAAAAGGAAAAGGAATTTACCTCTAAGGCCATTCACATGTGTACGTCTTCAATTAATAATTAGGTTGCTACTATTTGCTATGGTAATCCTGCAATGAATATTGGCTTTTTTGTGACTATATATGTAAGAGAAATACTTAGAAATTAACGATTATGTGCATTTAAAAATCTTGGTGTTGCTAAAATTGTTCTCCAGAAATGCAGCCGTTCACTTTCCATCTTCTATAGTGGTTTCTCAATCTTCGTTCATTCTTCTTCCTGTGACTTGAGACTATCCAGTCTCCTTTCATTCTTCTTACATAACTTCTTAGTTACAGGAGCTTCAGTCTCACTGATTTTTGTTTTTCATCTAAACTGCTTTCAAGTTAGAACAGGAATTTTAAAAAGGTTTAGGTTCTGATTCTCTTAGTTACCATTTACCAAAATGTAACCCAACACACGGCAAGATCCAAAGAAACCAAATTCCTAAGTATATTATAGTTACTTATACAGCATGTTGCATTTTCCATCTGTAGGTACACTGCTCAACACAGTGACTATGAGCAATATGAAACTCTTTATGTTTAAATTAATTAAAGTTAAGAATTCATTTGCTTAGTACACTAGCCATATTTAAAGTGCTCAGTAGCCGCCTACGGCTAGTCACTATTGTATTGGACTGCACAAATAACTTTTCATAATTGCATAAAATTCTGTTGAACAGTACTGTTCTAAAATGTTAAGCTTTTTAGGCAAAGGAACTATGACTTTTTTTTATATTCTCATCCCCAACAGCATATTGTATTTATACTTGAAAAAAATCAAGCAATGAAGCAAAAGAAAGCAGGAAAAATGTTTTTAAAATTTTAATGAGATATTCCAGATGCTTCTGTAAAATCTTAAGTGGGACATTCTATACAGAACATAAAATCATTTCAAAATACAAGTTACTCCACTTTGAATATCCTATTTTAAATTTAAAAAAACATTTAAAAAAGGCTTTGTCTTGTTTCTAAGGAAAATGAGGCAACGTGCTTATTAAAATACTATTGTGCAGCACTGAGTACATCATAAGTAGTTCATTAAAGGTCTTCATTCATAACATAAAGGCTAAACCTGAGGAATTAGAATTTTTATTATCACAACTGCATAGCAAAACCATGTCCAAATAATAGACATACTAAATCTGTAGATTCAGATAACCTGTAAACCATTTAATCCAATTTAAAGCAAAACCAATTATGTCAGGAGAGATACCAAGAGATATCCAGATAAACTAACAAGGTTTTGAAATGCTTCATTCTTTTTTTTTAAAATAACAATGCAATGAAGTTGTCAAATGTTCCATGGTTACATTTTATATCATTTACCCAGTGACAACAAACTGCCCAGCCATTTGGTTGTTTGGAAAGAATTTTTAGACCAAATTCACTCTTTGCATGTGGCACTGAGCAGCCCCAACTTCAAAGTGCAAATGCCTGCAAGGAAATGTAGCTTAATCCATTTGTTTATTTATGCCACTATTCTACACTGACACACCAATGCTGTGAAAGAGCTTTTATAGCTCTAGCAAAATAAGCTTGAGAAAATATAGAGAGGCCACAAATCATGCACAAACTAAATGAATATTAACGAGCATTTTAATTGGGGTTTTCTTTTATTTTTTAAGTCATGTTTGAAATCACTGGTGATACCACGTTAAGCACATGCTTTATCAAACTAAATGCAATCTAGAATTATTCAAACACTTAAATATCCATTATTATCCAAAAAGAACACTTTACATTTACATAGCACTTTACTGCTGCTGAAGCAATTTCACATACTCCATTTCATTTTATTCCTCACAACAGCCCTGTGAGGTAGGCTGTACAACTTATAGTTATTTTATAAATAAGGCAATAGAGGCCCAAAGATGATAAAGGATTATGTAGAGGTCATAGATCTAGTATATGGTAGAGCTAAGGTGATTAATTTTAAATACTGCAATAAAGAAGCCAAAATCCTTTTTATATCATATCCAGGGATTTTTAAGACTTGTGGATTTTAATATAAATTATTTCAAAACTTTAGCTGTTATCTGTCTTACAGTATGAATTAGTTATAAAGTTGATTTTAAAGAGTCTCCCTTAATAGGTAAATTAGACTCAGTGCTTTGGTACATTAGATATATAGGAAATGTTAAAAATCATGCATTCTCATGGCCCTTATGTTCTCCAAAAAGTTCCAATACTAACAAAAATGTGTTTTACCACTTACTATTTGAATTATTTTAATACTAGCAAAACTGAATAAGCTCCAGGCCAAAGCAAACACATTCACCTGCCTTCTGCCTTACATACTGTGAAATCCTCTACATGTCCATTCCCATGGACCAGCTTACATTGAATGGGTACCACTAAGAAAAGGTATCAGTTTAAACTCACTTAGCTTAAATGATTATGAATCAGAAGTCAGTACCTTATATTCACCCAGAAATAATATTCTTTTATTTAATAATTGAGTCATCTGAATAGAAAAGTGTACTCTGGCAAATTCTGGTATTTATTTATAAGTGAATACTAACTTTGATATGGCATGTCCAACAGTATCTTTTCAATGAAGACAACATAAACCAAATGTAATCAGTTTAAACTCAATTGTAACTAATTTAAAATGCTTAAATTGTTTAGGTTAATCAAATACTCCAGGTAACAAAGCTATTATATGTGACATATCAGGATCATAAATAACTGCAGAATGTGCATACTGTAAGAGACACATAAAACTAAACTATGCTGAATGCGAGGTAATCTTGCCATGATCATTCAGGAAACATTCATGATCGCTTATAATACTCCAATGCCAACATTACGAAATGTGTATTTTGGTTAAAAATAACAACTTTATGATTATCTGTATACTGAGTAAATTTATGTTGACCATACACTTCCCTAAAAGAATATATCTAAGAGTAAACACAAAATCAAAGAAGAAACTTTTTCAGACTCATTAAATGTGACTATATAAAAGTGAACCATTTATATGCAGTTAATTTGATTTTTTCTAGCAAACTATAAGACATTTTAAACTTCTGACTTATTAGTAAAACATTTTTAAGATGCAAACTCTGTCACACTACTCAAAAAGCTGCAAAACTATATGCACAGTACATCAAACTTCATTGGTTTTGGTTAATGTGCATACAAAGTAATCATCACATCTTTACTGCCATATCACAAACACTCAAATTTGTTGTATGAATTAGCTAATGAATGGAGACTGATCTTTTAAAAACAAATCACGTTTTAAAAAATAATTATTTTAAAATATAATTAATTTCTTAAGCCTGGAATCACATATTTTATAGTAAGAAGTCTACACTTTCCTCTTTAAATGAATACTCTTTGAAATAATCATTTTCCATATACTTTTCCAATTGTTTCCATAAGAAACAACAAAATTACTTAAGCAATTATAATTTTATGGACAAAGTATATAAAGAAAAATTAATCATTCTAGTCATGAAATAGCATATCTTAGCCTAATTAAAAGATTCCATTACATTCACTTTTACTATTTATACCACCAAGGATCAGTCACAAAAAATTCAAATTAAACATGATATTATTCATGCTTTAATTTCATAAATAAGTAAATAACAGCAAATCAGTATGTCTCTTTTAAAAGAATTACTGTTTGCAGAAAAGAGTAAATAGGCCAAGTCTAGCTGTATAGCAGTAGTTCACGATTTGTCAAGATGATACAGATGCCATCAATGCAACCCATGTATAGACAGGCATGTCCTTAATACTTACAATTAGTTTACCTTATACCTGGGACATTCAAATAATTGCTGTATATTAAATTTCTCTATGCATTAGTTATTAATGCTTGGTATCTACATATTTACCAAAATTTAAAGATATAATGTGACATGGTCAGCCATGAGAGACAAAAGGAATTGTCAAAAACTCTTTTCTACAGTGCTTAAGGCAGCTCCTTCATTTCTATATCCAGTTTAATAAAAGTAGTTTGGAATTCAGTTGCTAAAAGAGAAATGCAATACTAAATCCATGTTTTTATAAAACAACTGTTTTACACCTGTGATATATCCATTATAGTCAACCTCTCAAGCATTTCTTTTATAGAAAGCAATCATGTTTGACCTGTGGAAACAAAACCTAAATAAGCAACAAAAGATGTTTCAAAGGGTTTAATATTTTCTACAATGTTTTAAACTGAGCAAGAGCTCAATATTTTTAAATTCAAATGTCAATGAGAATATTATATATTATGGTTAATAGTTACCTTAAGATTATTTAAATAGGCACTATATTTGATTAGTTTTTAGTTTGGAATGAGGATGACAAACTTTTTTCAGTTTAACTTAACAACAAATAAAATAAAATAAAAACATCATAAACAAAAAACCCCACACATCTTGTTCTTTAATTTTAGAGACTTTTAAGAAAGACAGTAAGAAGAAATCCTCAGATTCTTATTTTGAAGTTAATAACTTCATAATTTATATCAAGTAATACATGTGATGAGAATTTGGACTCTGGATTTACTGAACTTATACTATTACTACAAAGCCTCTTAAGAGTTGAAACCTCTCCACTGGAGAGGTTTTCCAAACGAATATTAGAAAATTTTAAGCGAAGAGTTTCAAATGACAACAGGAACACAAGAATCATGTACACTCCTCCAGCCCTTGATTCATATATGCTTTTCCCCATGCCCCTGCAGCAGAGGGCCCTCACCACTTTAACATAATGCCCTGTAGCTTAAACATCAGTTGACACTGCATGGGTCAGGGACCAAGAGTATGCTTAGAGGAAAAAGGCACTGAATTAAGGAGAAGAAACAATTATGTAAGACAGTAGTAAAGAATTTTATACAAGAGCATCTGAACTTTTCTGTGTCATATTTGCTAAATTTCACTTAAAGCCACTCAACTACTAAAAATTTCTGCTTTCAGGTTTGAGTCTATGAAGGGCATTATAAATTTCCATTTACTTAGATCCTGGAATAGCCCCTCTACAGGAAACAGAACATCTGAAAATTTCTTTCAAACTCTCTATGAGGAACAAAAACTAAAGTTATATTTCCTTGGAGAATCAAAAGAATACCTATTGGCATACTTTATTCTCTAACTGCTTTGCAGTTTTTAAAATTACCAACATGTCATTAGATAATAGTGTAGATATTAATGTCCTCTGGAAAAACAATATTCCAATTCAAATAAAACTCCTCATTTACATTTGTTTTATCAAGGAAACAAAACATCCTATCAGTAAGCAGTAAATTTTTATTTTTTTTGAGACAGAGTCTTGCTCTGTTGCCAGGCGCCAGGCTTGAGTGTAGTGGCACAATCTAGGCTCACTGCAACCTCCGCCTCCCGGGTTCAAGCAATTCTCCTGTCTCAGCTTCCCCAGTAGCTGGGAATACAGGCGCACGCCACCACACCCAGCTAATTTTTGTATTTTTAGTAGAGATGGGGTTTCACCATGTTGGCCAGGATGGTCTCAATCTCTTGACCTGGTGATCCGCCCGTCTCGGTCTCCCAAAGTGCTGGGATTACAGGCTTGAGCCACTGCACCTGGCTAGCAGTAAATTTTTAGAGAGAATGAGCTATTATTAATACTATTACACAGGTTTTTATGTAGAAAGCAACCCAAATGTAGGCAGTAATGGTCAATCCTTGGAGGAAGGTTATCATAGCACAATATATTTAAAATGAGAATGAAAAAAAGACAACAAGAAAAATGAAAAGTTTCAAAATTAAGAAAAAACAAATTCAGACCTCTTAAAAATGCCCAAGGAATCATTAAATACTGTCATTTTAACTTTTAGTTTGGCTCAAAGGATGTGAATTACAAATTACAATTGACTTTTTAAGAATAGTTATGTTCTGCTTAATAACCATGGGTTTTACTCCAAGTTTGGGAAAGACATCTATGTCAATTTTTGGAATAATTAACATTTCTTTAACAAGAAAATGTAGCAAAGGACAGAGAGAAAACTAACCTCTGAATGAATGGTTGCTTGAAAAACCTATGTGCCAATTAAGTCAAAGATATGCAGATTTTTTTCAAAACAATTGCTTAAAACATTCCATATGTTATTCAAAAGAATATATACTTTGAGTATTTAGGTACCTCCTTTTATAACCTATCCTTCTTAGATAAAAATTGAGTAGTATGTTTTTCAATACGCTATGTAACTTTAATAAACTTTCATTCCTATTAGAGATGTTAAAAATCAGCATAATTATTACCAGTTAGTGCCACATTCAAGTGGGAATTTTACCAAACTACTAAAGGTAAGATTAAACTGTTGTGTTTAGAAACTTATCACAATATTTTGGAAAAAAGAAAATTATATACAATCTAGTAAATAAACAAAAGAGGATAATTTTGTAAAACTTATTTTAAAAAGAGGAAAAATAAACCATTTGAAAACATTTTCATCATTCCCAACATATGATTTCAATTTTTAGAAAACTTCAGAAGACTGTATTTTTAAAGCTTCTGTGTAAGAACTAAATAATAAGTAGTAACGGGATTTTTAAAAAAGACAAAGTACAGAAGAAAGAAGGCAAGACGTAAAAGCTTTTCTCCCCAGGACTAAGGGTTGCATATGTAATTAAACATATTAGAAGAATCAAAGTAATCCAAGAAATACAAAAATGACTTTTTATGGTAATTAAACACTGCCTTTCCCTCCGTTTACTCTTCAATCATTAGTTTCTTCCTTGGTATCTGCTTGCTTCTATGATACTGCACAGTAGGTTCCTGCAAATGCTTCACACTTTGTGTTTAATGATAACAGATTCCGGGCCTCAAAGCAGAACACAGCAAACCTGATTTTCACTACTCACAAATTCCTGTGATTAGTAACTGCACAGAAAAGGCCACCCAATCAAGAGGGAGGGTAAACGTATTCTGATTAGGCATTATTGAGTAACAAGATTGTTCAGGCTGCTAGCTGAACCAGTCATTCCATTTTCACTTTTCTGAAGTGTTCTCACAGCACTTGGAACCTGCATCCCAGTACTCAAAGAAAGTCCACCACACCATACCTAAGAAAAGACAAAAAAATCTAATCAAATCAAATTAGAACTTCAGTGATTTTAAAATTTCCATTTGTGGCAAAATGCCACACATATGAGCATCAATCATTCTCAAACAGGTAACCATCAAATTTTAGCTGAGGGGAAATGGAAAGACTAACTCAGAATTCTTTAGGAACCAGAGGCCAGAGGAAGTCCTGCTGGAAGCAGAACCAACTGAAGCAGCACCCAAGAGAGGAACTCAGGGCTACAGAAATAGAGAAACTTAATTGGATTAATCTAGGGAAAAGATACTACCTATCATTATTGATGCTAACCTTCACAACCAAGGGAAGCATAGAAAGCATCAACTTACTTCCCAATTATGCTTTTGGTTTTGATAATGAGATATAGCCTGAGACTATCAAGATCTAACACCCCTCTGTTAACAGTAAAATCTGTTTTCTTCCATACCTTGTTAACAAAAAGAACTCTTTTATAATTCTTTAAGAGGGACTCCTGACAAAAATGCAAATCACAATATCAGATGTACTTCCCATTTCTATCACGTATCAAAAATGTGAATGACTTTGTGAAAGATAAAACTGCTTTGCTTGTGAACAGAGCAGCTATGATTCAACAATGTGAGAAATAAGATTTGGGACACAGTCAAAAGAATTAAAATATGAAAATATAGATCTCACTGACACTACATCAACTATCCTGTATGTATTAATAGCAGACACAAGCTTAAAGCAAGGGAAATTTTTTTTTAAGTATCCTCACCTTCAATTATATCCTTAAGTGTATCTACTAAGTAACTACATTATTGTACCAAAGAATCTACTGAACTGTGAAATTCACAACTATATCATCAACATTCTAAATTCTCAAAACTAGCAGGCTCAGTAATGATAACTCCCAAAATACAAAAGCAACTTTCTGATTATAAAACTAGTATATTATTTTTTGGAAAGTATTTAAATGGTTTAGAAAAATATTTACTGAAAATATTTACTCAAAATCTAACATGATCAATGCAAAGGGAAATCAATGGAAGAAAGTCAGTCTTTTCAATAAATGGTACTGAAACAATTGGACAGACACACAAAAATGAACTTCAAGCCATACCTTATACCTTACACAAAAATTAACTCAAAATAATCACGAACCTAAATGTAAAATCTACAACTGTCAAACTTCAAGAAGAAAACATAAACCCTTTGTGACTGTGAGTTGGGCAAATTGTTACCCATAAAGGGAAAAAAGATTACTAAATTGGACTTCATATCGAAATGAAAAACTTCTCTTTGAAACATTCAGAAAATGAAAATGCAAACCATAAACCAGGAGAAAATATTTGCAAAGCATATATCTGATAAAGGATTCATATCCAAACTGTATAAATAACTCTTTTTAAATATAGGAAAACAAGGCCAGGTACAGTGCCTCATGCCTGTAATCTGAGTACTTTGCGGTACCAAGGCTGGCAGATCATTTGAGTCCAGGACTTTGAGACCAGCCTGGGCAACATGGAAAAACCCAGCTGTACAAAAAAACTTTTAAATAGCTGGTATAGTCTCAGCTATTCAGGAGGCTGAGGTGGGAGGAACACTTGAGCCCAGGCAGTTGTGGTTGCAGTAAGCTATGATTGCACCACTGTACTCTAGCCTGGGTGACAGAGCGAGACCCTGTCTTAAAAATAAAGTAGAATAAAAAATAAGAAAACAATTAAGTCCTAAAAAGCAAAGAATTTTAACCGCTACTTCAAAGAAATTATATGAATGGCAAATAAGGACATGAAACATCATTTGTCATTAGGAAAGTACAAATAAAAATACAATAACATACCACTATACACCTATTAAAATGGCTTAACAACAACAAAAAATCTGTTAATACCAAATAAGAGCAAGGATATGACCAATTCTCATATCACTGATAGAAAGGCAAAAAATGGTACAGCCACTTTGGAAAACATTTTGGTAGTTCCCTATGACATTAAACATATACTTTCAATGTGATACAGCAAGCCTATTACTACTGTTAGGTATTTATCCAAGGGAAAATCCCATATGTAAACGTTTATAGTGATTTTATTCATAACTGCTCCAAACTGGGAAAAACCCAAGTGTCTTTCAACTGGCGAATGAATGAACTGTGTTACATACATATATGAAATACTCAGCAATGAAAAAGAAAATAGTGACACCACAACAAAATGGATGAATTTCGAATGCATTATACTACAGAATTAAAAGGCTACATACCATACAATTCTATTTATATGATGTTCTGGAAAAGGCAAAACTACTGGGCCTATGAAATGGTTACTGATAGCTAGAGCTCATTGCGTGGAGGGTCCACTATAAAGGAACACAAAGGAATTTTCTAGGGTGATGGAAATGCTCTGTATCTTCATTATGGTGGTTTTACAACTCTAGGCATTTGCTAAAAAACACAGAATTGCATCATACTATAAATTATATTTCAGTAAAACTGACTTAAAATTAATCTTGTACACAAAGCATTTAACAGTGGTTAATAAAAAACTTCAATGAAAGAAAAAAATTTTTAACAAGTTTAAAATAATTTCTTGCAGAATCTTATGACATTTGCTAATATAATTAGAGTATTATTTGGAATGAAAAACAAAAACTCAGTACATTCACACAAGATAGATTCAAATTAAAAATTAAATCTACTCTTTGTAAAAGCATATCTCAGACTTGGAAAACCTTTTTCTGCATTCCACATGGTAAACAATTTGTCCTTGATGGACCAGTTTGGAAAAACATCCAAAAATGCATAATATAGCCGAGGCTTATACAAAGTCAAAAAAAAAAAGAAAAGAAAAGAAAAAGAAACAACCCTTCCAATATCTTTATGTTTCCATGAGCAATAATTTTAGTCACTAATTGCTTACCTTTAATGTAAAAGTAAAAGTAGGTGTCCTGGTTATTAGTATTGTTTTAAACTTAAGAGTTTAAGGTATCTAGAATAAATAATTATTATAGATAATGAGATTTTAAAGCACTGTACTTTAAACCCACTCAAACTCTGAAAACTTCCTCCTTATAGTTGAGAAGTTACAATTAGGGATGATGACAGAAGAACACACATGCAAAAATATTCTAAGTTTGCATTTGAAATACACCATCTCGATTTATAGAGGTAGCCTCCAAATTTAAGAAAAATTCTAGCCAAAGTAACAGAAACTTTAACTGGATCCCAGAACTCCCCACAGGAGCCTAACCTATGAAGAAATGCAGAGGGCTACCAGTTGGAAAAAAACAGCAACATTTTCTTAAAAAAATAAATTTAAAGCCATGTTTCATTTTTTTTTTACATGATTTTTTTTATCAGCCTGAAATTGAGTAGACCTGCAATCACATAGGATGTAATTACTGTGTGGTGTGCATACATATATTCAGCATAGCACACTAAGACAGTCATCTAATATTGTACAAAGACAACAATGCACTATGATCTTGTCAATATGGAATTCCATAGGAAATTCAAGAATGTACTTAGATCCCTACTTCATACCAAACACATCAATTCTACATTGTACTTGCATTGTAAATGCAGTCTATATCTAAATATGCAACATATACCTTTTAGAAGACAAGAATATTTTCATGACCTTGGGAGTGCATACTGATTTCTTAAACAGAATACAAAAAGTGCTAACTGTAAATGAAAAAATTGATAAACTCAACAAAATTAACTTTTGTTTATCAAACGATACCAACAAGGGAAAAGGAAAGCCAGAGTGAAGAAGATCCTACAAATTAATTCATAATAGGAAGACAACCTAATAGAAATACAAGCAAAAGATCTGAACAGTCAAAAAATATACCCAAATAGTCAACAAACATGTCAAAAGGTGCTCAACAGCACTAATACTCAAGGAAATGCAAATTAAAACCACAATGTAATATATTATCCACTAGGACAAAAATTTTTTTAAAGGTATTACCAAGCGTTGACAAGGATTTGAAGAAACTCAAATTCTCACATACTGCTAGTTGTAAATTAGCATAACCAACCACTTTGGAAAACTGGCAGTACTATTACAGTTGATTACACATGTACCATACAATCTAGCAATCCTAATCATAGGTATATACTCAATGGAAATATACACATACATTTATCAAAAGACATGAACAAAAATATTCACAGCAGTTCTATTTGTATAAACCCACAAATGGAAACCACCCACATATCCAACTAAATTAGAATGTATAAATTGTGATACAGTCACAGAATGGAAAACTATACAGCTATAGTTCATGAGAATGAATGAACTATATAACCACATAGAATATGGATAAATCCCACAAACAATGTTGAGTCAAAAAGATACTGTGTGATTCTATTTATATAAAACTGAAAATGAAGTAAAGTAAATTTGTGTTTTTTTTTTCTGAGCCAGAGTCTCACTCTGTCACCAGGCTGGAGTGCAATGGCACGATGTCAGCTCACTGCAACCTCCACCTCCCGGGTTCAAGTGATTCTCCTGCCTAAGCCTCCTGAGTAGCTGGGATTACAGGCACACACCACCACGCCCAGCTAATTTTTGTCTTTTCAGTAGAGACGGGGTTTTACCATGTAGGCCAGGATGATCTCGATCTCCTGACCTTGTGATCCGCCCACCTTGACCTCCCAAAGTGCTAGGATTATAGGCATGAACCACTGCACCTGGCCAAACTTGGGGTATTAAAAGTCAATACAGTGTTAACGCTGGAGAAGGGCCATCAGGGACTGGAAATGGACACTAGAGAGGGCTTCTGAGGTTCTCGTAATGTTCTAGGTGCTGGTTACATATTTGAGTGCAATCCTATAAAAACTCATCAAACTACGTATTTATAATTTGTACTTCATGCATTAACTTCAATAAAATAAACCAAAAATATATGAAAATCACAGATTTGGGAGGGGAGAATTGGGGAAAGGGAGAAGAATATGAAGAAAAAATAAAATATTCTCCTTATAGTCACCAAACCAAGTAAATTAGGCATATATAAAATATAAAACATACTAACCATGAAACCAGGTAATAGTGGCTGAGTAAATTTTGTCTTAAAGGAATATAGCAACTGTTTCGAGTTTGCATCATAGAATGAAAGTTGACCTAAAAAAGAAAGAAAAAAGCCTATTAAACAAAAAATTATAACATTTAATTCTAATGTATAATCATGCAAAAAAGTAATAATATATAAGTTGGCATTCATTTCTCTTATAAACTATGAGAACTGGATTAATTATTCTCACACGAAAATCAGAAGGACATATACTTAAGTTTTCAAAGCCCAATCCAATTTTCTTCCCCTGGTTTTCAAGACCTCCATAATATCTCTATAATCTGGCACTCTTCTACTTATTTAATGCAAACGATTTCTTTATCATTATTTAACAATGGCTTCATAAGTCCAATATAAACCAAGACCATTTCTTCCTCCTTATTTTTTCTATAACTAGCCTCTCACCCAAATCCTAATCACCAATTAAGGGTTACTCTATTAAGCCTTGTCTTCTGTCTACCTGAAGCCATACTCATACTCCAGTCTCTAAAATCACAGTATAATTATCATTGCTTCAATTTTGTTAAGTTATTTTTTTTCCAATAGAGGCGGGGTATTGCTATTTTGTATAAGCTGGTCTTGAACTCCTGAGCTTAAGCAATCCTTTCTCTACCTCAGACTCCCAAAGTGGTAGAATTACAAGCATGAGCCACTATGCTTGACCTGCTTTGTTAATTTTTAAAATCATCTCACAGTGTATCTTTCAATAGGATCATGCCCTAAAAAAAAGCTGTCTGTCTGACCTCAAACTGTCCAACCTAATGGCATCCTTACAACTGTTATCACTTCTTAAAACTCTTCTCTGATGACCATTCTCTTGGTTTGTATCATAACTCTGGGGGTAACTTCACAATCTCCTCCTTTTCTTCCTATTCTAAATGTAGCTGCTTTGTCCACACTCTTTTTTCTTTATATAATGCTTCCTTAATAAATCAACTGCCACCAAAGAGGAAGATAAAAGAAACTAGTATGTATGACAATACCATGTAGGTTGCTTAATGTTTTGAGGTAATGTATGTAAAGTACCCAGTACTTTGATCACAAAGTTAGTAAATAGCAGAACAGTAATGCTTAAATATATTGTTCTGTATAATCTTCAATAGCAATTCTGTAATACTGTCTCAAATATTTAGCATCAGCTCTACTTAACTGCTGAGTTCTGGCACTGAATTTCAAAATGCTTGCTAAACGTGCCATATGGTTATCCTGCTGGCATTTCATTTCCCCCCAAAACTCTATGCTCCCTATCCTGTTGACACTGTCATCCTCTTGATCACACTGACTGGAACCTCAAAGTCATTTTCAATTGTCCCTCCTCAGCTGATCCATATTTAGTTACTAAATCCTATGAATTCTACTTCCACACTGTCAAATCCACTCTTAATTCTCTACTGCTCAGATCCTTGTTGCCAGTTACTCAGCAAACACTTATTAAGGGCTTCCTATGTGAAAAGCACTTGCCAGGCAATAAGGACTTAATAGCTAACAAAAGAGACACAGTCCTGCTCTACACTGTTTGAAGACTGCTTCCTGAAAAGTCTTATGTTCTCTATGCTTTCAATCTCTTCCAGCTTAAACCACTGATTCTCTAATATTTCTAAAATTAGATTATTTTATGACTATAGTGTTCTAAAACATGCAGAACCATCCCTCCCCACTACTAAAGACCACTCCATTATTATTTTTCAAGGCTCTCAGAATCTGATCCCATTCCACAATACAACTTCCCCTTGCCATATGTTATGCTCTAGGCTAAAAATTCTATCTCACTACTACTTTTGTGGACTCACATAGCATGGGAAAAGAAAGAGAAGATAAGCAAATGTTGTCTTTGTAGTTGAAAGAGAAAAAGAAAATGTGTGCTAATAAATTTGCCATTTATCCTGAGAAAAATGATTTATCTGATTCAAAGTAGGTTAAAAAACAAACAACACAAAAAAACTGACATGTCATCACTAAAAAAACTGCTTTTTCTCCTTTTTTGAGTAAATTAATTGATAGCTCATGGAATTATTTGGGCAGAATATTACTAAAATAACAAAACTTAGTATTATTAGGTTAAGTGTCAACTTGGAGATAAAACATCTAGGGAATTACTTTAGTTCAACATTATGTCATCTTCAAATTTATTACACATTAGATGACTGTAGAGAATATGCTTATGAAATAACTAATTCAATGGGATTTAAACTTTTCTCAAAATATAAATATCAAGTTAATTTTCAGATGATTTTAACAGGAGGGGAAACGTGGCCAAGTCTATTAAGATGAAACTAAAAAAGGGTAACTGTAATAGCCATCATTTATATTATATATAACATTGAGTTATTTTTAAAAACTCTAAACTGGCTGAACGTGGTGGCTGATGCCAGTAATCCCAGCACTTTGGGAGGCTGAGGCAGGTGGATCACTTGAGGTCAGAAGTTCAAGACCAACCTGGCCAACATGGTGAAACCCTGTCTCTACTAAAAATACAAAGATTAGCAAGGTGTGGTGGCGCATGCCTGTAATCCCAGCTACTCAGGAGGCTTGAACCTGGGAGGTGGAGGTTACAGTAAGCTGAGATTGTGCCACTGCACTCCAGCCTGGGCAACAGAGCAAAACTCCATCTCAAAAAAAAAAAAAAAAAAACTCTAAACTGACTAATAAAAGAAGAAAAAGAATGTAACATAATGCCATGAAAAAAGATCTAGTAGACTAGGGTAGCTACAAGCTCAATACTGGTCAGCAGTGCTAAGTCATATTATTAGAAGTAGCACAGACAAATTACTGCCCTTTGCCAGTCAGAGGTCATGTGTTCCACTCTAATAACCAACCTTTAAGAAAAACACTGACATACAAGACAGGCATAGGAGATTATAAAGACTTGGAAAAATTGAATTTTAACAGGAGCAGCTAATAACAGAGAATATATGGTCTGGAAAAACAGGGAAAGAAAAGCAATGTTAGCATACCCATAGTTTTTAATAAACAAGAATTATCATACAAATATTAATGAGGAAATATAATTCTGTGTTCATTCAGATAGCAAAATTTAAGAGCAACAGTCTCCGGAGTTATAGGGAGACAAAGCGAGTCAACTTAAGAAAAATATTCTAACCAAGAGCTGTCCAACAATGAAACAGCCTGCTTTCTAAGACAGTAAACTTCACATTAAAAGTTCTTCAAGGGGGATAACATGGGGAGAAATGCTGGATACAGATGAAAGGGGAATAGAGGCAGCAAACCACCTGGTTATATATGCACCTATGCAACAACCCTGCATGACCTGCACATGTACCCCAGAACCTAAAGTAAAATAAAAAAATTAAAAAAAAAATTATTCAAGCACAGGAGTGCCAACAACCTGCAGAGATAATGTAATAATAATGATTTTTTATACTGTGTCAGATGGAGTAATTTCATTTCTTTTTTTGATTAGACCACAATGCGTTAATAGTCCTGTAATAAGTTCTGATATTGGGGGAAAACCCCTTTGGCCCTTATAAAGATATCACCAGTCATTCTGAGGAGTATCTTTAAAGACAGCATCTTGAAAATTAAGAACATTCCATTCATATCAAGTTTGATGGGGTTTGGCACAATAAAAATTTGCTGTATAGCTTATATTTACTAGGATAGTAGAAAATACAGCTCTTGTATCTTCCAGAATTTTAAAAGAATTTTCATAGGTACATAGTAGTACATAAAATGTTTTCATATAGGCATGCAATGTGTAATAAACACATCATGTAAAATGGGGTATTCATCCTGGGTTGGGTAATTTCTAAGGTCTATTTCAACTAGAAAATTTTGACTACCACTCTTTAGAGGTAAAGGTAATAAAACATTGTAAGGAAGGAATTAAAATGGACAGAAGAAATGTTAGTGCTGAAGACTAAAATTAGCAAAATCTTTCAGATTTAGTATATTATAAATGAGTACTTTTGTAGAGCTCCAGGCAGACATCACACATATCATTCTAGTCAATTCTAAAACTGAGATTATGATTGTGATCAAAAGTCTATTTGATCAAAATGTCCTTACCACAATACAAATGGAAATCCTGTGGTACTGAAATTCAAGCAACTATGATGAAATAATGGATAAGAAAATAAACTTACCCCCATCAAAATCACAAAATACACCTATTTTTTCAGGAACAGTAACATCCAAAGCTTTGACTTTATTATTATGCTTTGCTGAAAATGTGTTTTGTAGCCAGTTGTTGACATGGATACACCAACTAGTGTTTGTCTTTCCCAACTGGTCAAATTTCCCCAACGTTTTGTATGCTACTCCTACACTGTAGGATTTACAATCCTTCTGGGCCTTGACTTCCCAATAATGTTGTCCACTTTCAATAGCAGTGTCTCCTACAAAAGATCAGAAAGGTAGATTTGACTCTTATCCCTTTGTTATGAGTCACATAGGTTTACCTATCACTCTTCAAAAAAAAGGCACAAAAAATTTTATTCAAGTCCTTTTTCTATAAGAATAATCATGTTAACCCATAGACACTAAATGCAGAGTGCCTGCTATAATTTTACCTTTAGGTTTAGTGTTATTCTTCTGAACATAAAATGCTTCTGAGATTTTATTCCTTACTATCTCCCCTCCAGGTTTATATATATAAAGATGTGGGAACACTATGTAAGCTAAAGTTGAGTTTTAAAAGTATCAATATTAGTAAGACACTCTGAAAACTCCCCAAAGTAATTAGGCTTCAATTGAGAAAAACTTCTTGCAAAGATTTACTCAATAGACAGGCAGTCACTTTGAGTGGGAAGTCCACCAGTGTGATTGTGATGCTTTTAATCTGAGATAATAAAGAACAATTATGTTTTATCCTACCCAGCACTGTGTATGATTCTCCAGTAAAACGATCTCTACTGCCTCTTACTGCTGGTGGCCTGGAGCCTACAGATGTTCGTTTTGGGGATGGTGTACCACTTCTAGATAAGCAAGAAGAAAAAAGAAAAACAAACATTTCATATTATAAGTGTTTCATAAACTAAAATTACAATTCATGGAAGAAACCTCTGAAAAGATTTCTAATTATGCTATAGAAATAACATTCAATTTAATCTAAACTATTATTAAAGCGCACTATCAATTATAAACACTGAAATGTAAGAAGCTATCAATACAGAGCAGGCTGAAAACACTAATGGCATGCAGACTGAGCAAGGCTTATACAAAAAACACACAGCTGAAATAAGAAAGGATGCTAAAATGCAACAAGACTTACTAAAGGAAACAAAAAGAACTCAAGAAAGATAATGAGTTACAGCTTACTTTTTTTTGCAATTAAACTTAAAAGCAAAGAGAGGTTTCTTCTTATAAGCACAACTAAATAAACCTTTTTATAAATAGTGAGTATTTTGCTCTGAATCTTGCTTTCTTAAAAATAGAAATGGTGGCCAGGCATGGTGGCTCACACCTGTAATCCCAGCACTTTGGAGGTCAAGGCAAGTGGATCACCTGAGGTCGGAAGTTCAAGACCAGCCTGACCAACATGGAGAAACCTCATCTCTACTAAAAATACAAAATTAGCTGGGCATCATGGCACATGCCTGTAATCCCAGCTACTCATGTGGCTGAGGCAGGAGAATCACTTATACCCAGGAAGCAGAGGTTGTGGTGAGCCAAGATTGCACCACTGCACTTCAGCATGGGCAACGAGAGCAGAAACTCCGTCTCAAAAAAAAAAAAAAAAGAAAGAAAGAAATGGCAATTGTCCAAATCCATGCACAGGCTAATATCAAGTATTATAAAGCATTTCTCCTACTAAAATAGACAAGATCCACCTTGACTTCCTCTTATATCAAATTATATGATACATGGAAAACTTGAGAATACTGGGATCTTTACTAACTTTCAAAAACTCAAAATAGATTAAGTCCCAAAGATGTTTTCAAAATAACATTTTAATTATATTGAATTACTGCATTTAAAAAAGATATTTTTGTCAAGATTATCCTAAAGTTATTATTTAGAGAAAATGGGATAACTATATTTTCACCACTAATTAGAAGTAAAAATACATTTTTCCAACATAGCACTGGAAATTTTCTTCCTAAGAAAAGATCAATTTAGTAGATTTTAATATAAGCTATCAATACTAGAATAGAAATGCCTGACAAAGGCAAAACAAGAATACAGATAAAATTTAAAGTCATTTCATATGATTCATTTCATATAATTCAGTGACTTCATTCTGCATTATTTAAATGTCTTGCTATCAGCAGATTTATTAGACAATTTCAAAGAACTCAGGACCACTTCAACTGTCTTTTTAGTGAATAGTATTAAGTAGCAAAAGTATAGGTCTAGAACTATAACATTCACATGACTTAGTTTATTCCTTCCCAAGGGATTTCAAAGGTACTTTTTGTAAAGGTATTTATTTAAAAAGACACTTAAAAAGTGACTATAGGTTCTATTTGAACAGACAGCATGAACAAAGCTGAATGTGGAAAGATAGATTAAAAATTCTGTGAAACTTGTGCTAAGGAAGAAAGTAGTTTCTTGCCATTGGGTAGGGGGACAGCAAAACAGAATGTGAGGAGGAAAACTTTCCAGAATAGTTGTTGAAGTCTTCTCCAAAATGAAGGATAGAAACAAATAAAAATTACTAAACATTTATATTCTTTATCCTGAATAACAAAAATATATGTTTTCACTTCTTCAAGGTTTGGAATGACCACGTTTTCTAAGCTGATACTTATACAATACTTGCAAGAGTCAGTAGTAAGAAAGTAAAACTGAAAACACTGTCAACTGATAACTCAGTAAGAAAGAACTACATCATAATTTTCTTTCAGACTCATTTTATACAAGCTGATAGAGAATGTTAAAAGCCTGATTACAAAAGGTCTATGTGTTTTCAAAAGTTTTCTCTTAAGCTCAGGAGAAAATATAACATTGTATTTGCCCCAAAGTTTAAAAAAAAAAAAAAAGTACGTGTAGCTCTATATTCATGATCTTGTAGGGGGCAAACAATCTTGAAACCAGCGATTTTTAAACCATTTCCTGAACTCAAGGAAATCCACAGATGCTACAGAGGTACTATGGGAAGAAGCCAGCTTTAGGGCTTCTTCCCTTTTTTAACCAGCTATACTTTTCTCTTTTTAGACTAGGCTTCTGGAAATACTTCATTAAAGAAACCACACTGTTGTTTTTTTTAAAAAAGGTGTGAAAAACAGTATTTTAGATGCAACATTAAAGGAAGACAGGAAAAGAAAGAAGGTAAAAGTAAAATTGTTGCAACATGGTATATAAATTATAACAAAAAAGCTTTTAGGTCTCCAGAACTTTAATAAAAGAACTTTGTGTGACTGAGGTTATCTGAAATGAAAGTACATTCTCCCTTAGGAAAAAAAATGGGTGCAGAGCTCACCAAAGATTACCCAGTTTATCAAGTTACCAATTCATAAATTGATGACATATCAATCTTCCTCTGCCCAAGTTATTCAATAGCAAATATTGGTAATTATGCAAAAATGAACTCACTTTTAATTAATCAAAAATGTCAGTATTTGTGAAAAATTACTTTTATAACTAGAAAAGGAAGATGGGATACAATAATCTCAGAACACTAGCTCTTCATTATATCTAACTTGACTTCAAAGCCCAGTGCTTTTTAGTATTGCTAGTATTCTCCTTACTACTAACAGTCATGACTATGGTTGCTATTCAGCTGAGAAACAGAGCAAAGAAAGTCAACAAGATTTTGTTGTGGGTAACTAGGTAAGAATCAAATGAAAGGTTGAAGTAGATGTGTAATCAGGAGTGAGAAGGAATTAAATGAGCCAAACCAGTGGTTTTCCTACATAGTTGCACTTGGGAAACATTAAAAAATGCAAATTACCAGGATTTACCATAAACTACTAAATCAGATGCTGGAGGGTAGGCTTGAGAAACACATGTCTGTGTTTTTAAAATAAGAATTTCAAGACTTTGCTGTTCAGCTGGGCTAGGAGCCACTGAGGTAAAACAAAGCAAAACTCTCCTATTAAGGAGCAAGGATCAAAAGTGTGATGAAAGGCCAGGTGCAGTGGCTCACGCCTGTAATCCCAGCACTTTGGGAGGCCGAGGCGGGTGGATCATGAGGTCAAGAGATCGAGACCATCCTGGTCAACATGGTGAAACCCCATCTCTACTAAAAATACAAAAATTAGCTGGGCATGGTGGTGTACACCTGTAATCCCAGCTACTCAGGAGGCTGAGGCAGGAAAATTGCCTGAACCCAGGAGGCGGAGGTTGCGGTGAGCCGAGATCGCGCCATTGCACTCCAGCCTGGGTAACAAGACGGAAACTCCATCTCAAAGAAAAAAAAAAAAGGGGGGTGATGAAAAGACAGGTTTTACACAATCTATCATATGGCACCCTTAGTCCTTGTTTGCTATGGCAAGTGAGGAACTTGGCTATGGAGTAGCTGAGGAAAGGGAAATAACTGTTGCTAGGAACCACATCTCATCTCTGCATCCTCAGTACACAGTAGGTGTACAGTATCTGACTAGAAGGAGTTCATCTGAGTAAACAGATAGTAAATTTGTGATATTACCAATTAAGGACCATCTGTATCTTCCTGAGTAAATATGTGATATTATCAATTAGGGACCATCTGTACCTTCCTGAGTCAAAGTACTAAATTGGAAAAACAAAGGCCTTTGGCATTTTGTAATACATCAATGATTGTCAATTGAAAAGGCACAACAGAATGAGAAACAATCAGGAAACTTTTTCAAAATACACTGATGTTCACCTCCCCAACTGGTGGGTCAGAGGGTCTGCTGAGAGAAAACATGCATTCTGAAAAATATTTCCCAAGTAACTTAGGGCAACAAATAGAAAGTGAAAGTCATATAAATAAATAGAAAAATTTCACTTAGCACTGCTTCGAAATGTGTTAAGAGCTCTTTTGATAACCAGAAAAACAATTTTTAAAAATTTATAACTTACCAGTAGTAAAGAAAGGGAAGCATGGAGAAAAGAAAAACAGACATAACTATTGACATTGGCAGTTGAATTTCAGAGAAAAGTTAAATAAGGAGAACTCTTCCATTGCTGCATTCCAGACTTCCAATTCTAAGTCACTTTTGCAAGAAACAACTTACAAGTTTTACGTCAAGCATGATCTCCTCCCATCCCCTCCCTCACCCAGTGTTAAGAACACCCTGGCCACTTAACTGCCTGAATTTAAGTAAGGCTCTTTAGCTACCTCTCGTCTGCATTGTTTTACCAGCTTCTCAAATAATCTCTTTGCTATCCAATTCATCTTGTTCATTATTACAAGATAAAGCTAGCTCTGATTCCTCTATTTAAAAATCTTCATGTACTTCTATACTGCTTACAAATGACTTAGCACAGCATTCTGGTTCTTGATTTAGTCCCAATCTGCCTTTCTAGCCTTTTCACCCCTAGAGAGCACTACATAGCTAAATATACCAGCCAAAATGTTTAAACTCACACCATCTGCTTCAGTGCCTTTCCTCTGGCTGTTACCCCTTTCACTGCAAGTCTAACCACCACACATTTTTCAACTTGCTCAAGAACTAGCCTGAATATCATTTCTTTAACGAAAGTCCCCCAAATCCTACCAGGCTAAATAACCAGTCTGAGGAGTCCAGCTCCAGGCCCAAATTCTATGTGTGATCTTTCAGGCCCAAGCATAGGCCTGTTGGTGAGGCAGGGTGGGGGCACAGGGTAGGGTGAGCTGCCCTCCTCACATCAGACTTGGTGCACAACTAGTGCACTGTAGTTTCTAGAAAGAGTTGCAATTCCACACTTCTCTCCATCACGATCATACACCATATCTGCATTCCTAGCCAAGGCACCTCTATTCTGAGGTCCCCTTATCAGAGGGAGGCCATAGCCAAGATAATTTTCAGGTGCCTCTGTGTAAAACTCCTTTAGGGCAGAGGCCAGGGGAGGAGTGATGGTCTAAAAACATTCTTCTACACTCCGTTTTAGTATTTTCCCATTTTAGCCCCTCACTCCCCACCTTCTTGGTTCTCAGGTCCATTAACTGGCAAGAGCCTTTTGTTTGGGGCTTGCTGGCATTGAGAAGATCTGTATTATCCGTGTTGATTTACGTGACCTTCACCCAGGTCCATTCTGTTGGGAAAAACTGAACACTGGGGAAGTGAGTACCCTTTCCTTTGTGGCCTCTTGCGTATACGATCACAGCACATCAATAAAGGCTTGATTATTATTTAGTTAGGCTCACTATCCTACCTGACCACCTTAACACCTGGCAGCTCTAGATGTCTTTCTTCCTCTGAACACCTTCATTCACACTTAGCAATGCACATATATCTACCTTGCATTATTGCTACTTTTACATACATCTCATCTACATAAATTAGGGTAAATTTCTTGAAAGAAGAGATAGTGTTTAATCCCTATAAATCCTGTAACATCCAGCAGATATCCTACAGTGAGCAAATATTTACGGAAAGAATATATAAATGCGTATAACATTCCACAAGTAGCCTATATATAAAATACTCTTAAAAAGTAGGGAGGGAGAAAGAAATGACATAACCTTAAATCATAAATATGCAATCTAAAAATTTCCAAGTGACCAAACAAAATTTCATAGACTATTAAATCCAGCATTTTCCAATTTATAATACACCATAAAATCACTTTTACCAATAATAAGTAAATCAACTGAAAAGAAGAGGAAGCTAATTTTGAGAAGAGAACATATTCTGGTTTCTGGTAAAGATATGTAGTATCTTCAAAATAAGCACATTATTACTCATGCAAATTGAAACAATTCATCTTTCTGGCACTGTCTTTAGCAATGACCTTTATTTTTTGTTCTTGTTGTTTTTGAAACTGCCTCATCACTATAAAATAGAGAACCATTCAAACCTGCTGTCTGTCAAATAAAAGCAAAGCTATAATGTTAAACTAATGAATATTATTCAGTACAACAAGAAAGATGCCAAGTATGAGTAAAAGCAGAAAAAAATCAGATAAGGGAAATAAATTCAAGAAAGACTTTAAAGCAGAGCTTATTTGGTTACCACATACAATATAATTCAAATAATATGCAGCACACTATAATGTAAATTCAAAACGTAAGCTACCAATACAGTCTATGCAGAGCAGTGTTTTAGCTTATGGACGCTGCCGCAATGGCTTCTGCATATTGGTTAAAAGAAAAAAATCAAAGTTGTTTTAAATCAGCCAAGCTAGATTATACTAAGTCCTAGAACTAGACAGACATAGATCATCACCTTGTGTGTTTCTTCAGTGAAGTAACATGGACACTGTCAGATAAAAACAGGCAACTGTTAAGAAACTGTTTCATAACTTTAACAGCTTATAATAAAATCAGATTAAAGGCCTGGTGAGAAATTTTTTGGGGTTCATTATTGTAACTCACATGGTATTTATCTTCAATTTGAGCAAAAATTTCTTCTATTAAAAAAGAAAGAGGCTCCCATGCTTTGATTTTATTTAAATAAGTTAGTTATGATAATAACAAAAGGTCCTCGAGCTTGCCTCTTAGGTTCATTGTGTTGCTGATGAGAGGTTAAGACCCTAGGGTTGTACCTGCTAAACGCTGTCATTTAGCGCAAACCAGACCTGCAGGTAGCATAGGTGATTTGTAAGTCTAAAATTCAGGAATTATACCAGAAACTTCTTCTAAAGCAAGTCAACTTGCTGCACATGTAACTTGAAAAAATTGGAATACTGAAATGAAAATGTATAAGAGGATTAGGAATGAAAATTAAAAAGAGTAATAAAAACGTTAATGACATTCAACTATTGACAAATAGTATTATAGTCTTCACTTCGGTGCTACTAATATACCATAAATCTCATAGGTATATTGACTAAGAATTTCAATGTAAGTTACTGTTACTTAAGAACCAGTATACAAGCATTTGTTCATATGACAGATTTAATGCCCTGGCTTACCTGCCCTTGTTCTCTTTTCCTTTAATTTTACTTTCTTGGCCTTTTCCTCCAGTAGGATCCCACTCTACACAGGTATCTTCAACTTTCAAGTTCAAATGGGATGAAGAGTTATCCAAATTGAAGTTAAGTGCTATTTAAGACAATATTTCAATATATTTTTAAAATATAGCATATCTCCACTTTCTGAAACACAGCTATCATCACAATATTTTCCTACTCAATTCAACACCGAATACAGAAAATAAAGTTCAAATTCATAATCTTAGCTCTTAAACTTCTCAACAATTAGGCTATAATTTATAATTCTTATCTGATTTCCCATTATTCTTCTCAATATATCCTATACTCCAACCAAATACAATGTACTTGCATGGCTACTGGCATTTCTGCTGTTCATTCTACTAAAAGCTCAGTGAGTACACAGTAACCTCAATTTCCTGTTATTAGGATATCAGTTGACTTTTATAACTAAATAGGAAGGGGAACTGGAAGAATTAAGGAAAAGGATAAAGCTACACAGTGTAAAAAATTATAGAACCTGGCATATACATTTTCTCTGATGCTCTAGTATTTAGTAATTTCACACCTAAACTCTCAGTTTCAAAGTAAGACAAGCATGGAGAAACTGAGGCCATGATGGCAGAACAAGGAAACTGACCCAGGTGATAGATGATTTACATGGCAAAGAGTACAGAGGAAAAAGGGACCACATAAATGAAAACAAAAAAACTCATAAAACAAAACTGTGCTTTCCAGATTATTTGATATTTTGAGGAATTATCCATACTTTTCACAAGACTTACTCAGAACTGCTAATTTAAGAAATCCGTGAAACAAGTTATAAGCTTCCCTTTTTGGAAACTGAGGGTAAATCATTAGAATGTATTGATTCATGGCTGATCAATGTACCATTCCTTTATCTTAAAACATAACTCTCAGAATCTCAATCTTGCGAAGTATCAGCTATTACATAGTTACTAACTAATCTGCATATTAATTCTATTTCCCTCCAAAAGTTCAAACTGCTAGTAATTATTAAGAAATAACAGTATTCCTTTATAAAACTTGATTTCATTTACAGATATTACTTAATTTAGCTAATGCTTCAATGTGTCTGTGAACTATGCATCATCAAACAACAAAATAAACATATAGAGAGCCTGTTTACTTAATTAATCAATAATCCTTTTATCCCTACTGTTCTATAAAGAGCACTTTAATTTCAACTATGCATTGGAGCTATTGTTCATTGTTTTTATTTATGAAACAAGATTCTGAATACCAATCTACTGACCACACAGCTTCCAGTAAAAGTCATACCATACAAAGAAGTTCACAGCTTTCAAAATCTGCATCTAAACAGAAATAAACTTACAGAAAAAAGAAATAATGCAGCTTCTTAACAAAAATGAAAATAGAATTCCTTAATAGGCAGGTTACCAGAAGGTTAGGATTAAGTTAACACTGATACCCTGCATTTCCAAGAATGAACTGCCTTAATAAAGGTAACATCTGTATGTGAGCTATTAGGTAATGCATGTGACAGCACCTACATTTTTGAGAAAGAAAGTTGGATTTAACTCTAAGGTGCCATCAATTCTCAACTGCTTGCTAAAATCCTAAGGCTGTTTTTTTTAAAAAAAGAAAGACAGCCTAAGGCTGTCCCCTAATGTTTGCTATGATGGAGAGAAGGGCCATCTTCTGGTGTCAAAGGTGGCAAAAAAAAAAAGAAAGTACCATTCCAAACCACTTAAGACCAGAATTATCAAATGCTGCAGCATCCAAACAAAAAGGCATGGGTTTTAATCCTAAGGAGTGTCATTTTCGTATCTCTTTTCTCTTTTTGGACATTATCCCTTTATAGGACCTCAGTAGAGTTATAGAGCTCCTCTAAGGTAACATAGATAACACTCTGTATTAAAAAAAAAAAATCTAGCCTCAAAAGTGAGGTCCTATCTCTTGTATAAGCCCTATAATAAAACTAGATACTGGTTCCCTTATCTTTAAAAGTCTGTTAAAACAAAGCACCAAATATCAGAGTACAGATATGTTTCTTATGTTTTACTTGTGCCAGTGGCTGCTTTCTTGTTGAAATTATATCATAGCTGCTATCAGTTAAAATTGGAGAGTTATGATTTAGTAATATAATATCATTTACCTTCACAAAAAATAAATAATAATATAGCTTAAATATTCTGATGATAAGAACAGAACTTATATTACTCATTACTTTTGAGAATTTCAATGCCAGAAGAAATAGTGCTACATATGTTGAAGGAACAGAAATAAACAATGTTCACTATTTTCCATACCAAGAACCTTACGTGGAAGGATATGAAATTTTGGTAGGCTCAACTATTTAGTCTCTACCTTTTCTCCTTTCTCTCTCTAGTTTTTTGTCCATGTACTAATTTCTACTGGTTGGCTGAAAAACGCAGCAACAAGCCAAATTGGTAAACAATTGTTCAGTGTGTCATTTGTAAAAATGTGGATCTTTCCTATGCAGCTCTTTGAGATAGCATTTTACTCTTGTTACCCATGCTGGAGTGCAATGACGTGATCTCAGCTCACCGGCTCACTGCAACCTCCACCTTCCAGGTTCAAGCGATTCTCCTGCCTCAGCCTCCCAAGTAGCTGGGATTCAGGCATGCACCACCACACTTGGCTAATTTTTTGTATTTTTAGTAGAGACAGGGTTTACCCATGTTAGTCAGACTGGTCTTGAACTGCCAACCTCAGGTGATCTGCCTGCCCCGGCCTTCTAAAGTGCTGGGATTACAGGTGCTCACTGTGCCCAGCTATGACTATATTTTCAAATGGTAAAAACTTCTAAAGAAAGCACAGTAACATCTCACTTTGATAACAAGTAATACAGAGTAACTGCATTTCTTGGCTAAGTTACCTATAGTTCTCAAATAAAAACATCTGCTAATCCAAACAAATTACTTCAAGTTAGATTTTATTTTAGACCTTTGTGATGCAAACATTTTTCTGAGTTTGTCTCATCAGTAATTTATAAGCCTCATATTTTGTTTTAGTCTGATATGATTTTTTTTTTGTCATCCTCCATATCCTGTCAAATTTTGACAGGTAAGCCTATTCAAATGCTATATGAACTAGAGGTCAGTGGACTGCCTTAAGCCCCAAGTGCCTACAAGAACGTATAGAGTCTGGTTCTGGAATTAAATCCAGTCAATAATCATCTCACAATTGTGAAAGTCTCCAGCATTATGACCTTCAAATTGATAAAATACCTAAAAAACCCTCTGTATTCAAGTCTGCTACTCTAGGGAGTTTTCATTACATCCAAATTGCTTGCAGAGACTAGAAGAACCTAGGTTCCAGGCTCATAGTAAGGGTTGGCACAGAACTCAGAAGTGGATTCTTATTAACACCTTTCCAAAGTAGGTCTAGGGATGATGGGAAAGTCAATTAACATATTACAACTTTATTTTTCATCTGCAATATGGATATCAATAATATGTAGTACACTGATAAAGTAATCTAATAAAGAACTGAGAGTGCTTTCAACCATTAACATATATAAATGTTAATTACTACAATAAGATTCAGGAAAACAGAAAGGACCTGAACTAAACCAGATACTTCCCCAATATTGATTCATAATCCATTCTATGAGAAAACTCTGGGTAAATCTCAGTGACACTTACCTATAAGTAACAAGATTGAAATTTGTAAATTAATCATCCACCAGATAATACAATACCATCATCTGAGTCTATTCTATCTGTATGAACATAATCACATAGGAAAACCCAATAAAATCTCTAATGTAGTTCTATTTTCCCTTTCTTAAAATTCTTACTGTTGAGAAAGCTTCGCTAGGGGAAGTGGAGAAGGAATTCAACATCACATGAAGTGCTTCCTGTTACAAAGTTATAAATAACTTCAGATGTTAAGCTTTGTTTTATGCTGTATAAATAGCTTCTGATCTTACCTTTGGTCTCTAGAGTCACTGGATCAGAATACTCTCCAGCCACAGCCTTGTTACAAGCTCGTACTCTGAAATTCATATACTTTGAATCAAATTTTAAGCCTGAAAAAATGAGAACATGATTTTCAAACATGAAAAGTAAAGAACTCTATTCCCAAAAGTATGAGTATGAGCCTTCAAACATTAAGTACTGTGTCTCTGTATTCAGGAAGAGTAAAAATTTATGTTAAAAGAGTGATATGCTTAAAATAAGAGGAACCATGATTTAATTATTATTTTCTTCAAAAGAAATACATAGTTTATCAACCTTTTTTTTTATTTTTATTTTAAATATATATATTTTATTGCACTTTAGGTTCTGGGGTACATGTGAAGAACATGCAGGATTGTTGCATAGGTACATACTCGGCAATGTGGTTTACTGCCCCATCCCCATCACCTATACCTGGCATTTCTCCCCATGTTATCCCTCCCCAACTCCTTACCTCCCGCTGTCCCTCCCCTAGTCCCCCACAACAGATCCCAGCGTATGATGTTCCCCTCCCTGTGTCCATGTGTTCTCATTGTTCACCACCCGACCATGAGTGAGAAATGCGGTGTTTGATTTTCTGTTCTTGTGTCAGTTTGCTGAGAATGATGGTTTCCAGGTTCAGCCACGTCCCTAAAAAGGACATGAACTCATCGTTTTTTATGGCTACATACTATTCCATGGTGCCTATGTGCCACATTTTCCCTGTCCAGTCTTTCATTGATGGTCATTTGGGTTGGTTCCAGGTCTTTGCTATTGTAAACACTGCCACGATGAACATTCATGTGCATGCATCTTTATAACAGAACGATTTATAATCCTTTGGATATATACCCAGTAATGGGATTGCTGGGTCAAATAGAATTTCTATTTCTAGGTCCTTGAGGAATCGCCACACTGTCTTCCACAATGGTTGAACTAATTTACACCCCCACCAACAGTGTAAAAGTGTTCCTATTTCTCCACATCCACTCCAGCATCTATTGTCTCCAGATTTTATAATGACCGCCATTCTAACTGGTGTGAGGTGGTATCTCAGTGTGGTTTTGATTTGCATTTCTCTAATGACCAGTGATGATGAGCATTTTTTCATATGTTTGTTGGCATCATGTATGTCTTCTTTTGAAAAGTGTCTGTTCATATCCTTTGCCCACTTTTGAATGGGTTTGTTTGTTTTTTTCTTGTAAATCTGTTTTAGTTCTTTGTAAATTCTGGGTATCAGCCCTTTGTCAGATAGGTAAACTGCAAAAAGTTTTTCCCGTTCTGTTGGTTGCCAGTTCACTCTAATGATTGTTTCTTTTGCTGTACAGAAGCTCTGGAGTTTGATTAGGTCCCATTTGTCTATTTTGGCTTTTGTTGCCAATGCTTTTGGTGTTTTAGTCATGAAGTCCTTGCCTATGCTTATGTCCTGAATGGTATTGCCTAGGTTTTCTTCTAGGGTTTTTATGGTGTTAGGTCTTATGTTTAAGTCTTTAATTCATCTGGAGTTAATTTAAGTGGAAGGTGTCAGGAAAAGGTCCAGTTTCTGCTTTCTGCACATGGCTAGCCAGTTTTCCCAAAAAAAATATGGAATGCTTCATGAATTTGCATGTCATCCTTGCGCAGGGGCCATGCTAATTTCTATATCATTCCAATTTTAGTATACATGCTGCCGAAGGGAGCATCAACTTTTATTTTAACCAAGTGATTAAAAAGTACCCTTTCAAGCCTCATTTAAAGTAGTATTTCACTGAAAGAGAGATGGTACAATTTACAATAACATATTGAATTTAAAGTGGACACCCTAATTTTTATATTCATGAAATATTGTTTTTTTATGTTAAAATGAATTTAAAGAGGAAGTAAAAACAGAGATTAGTAACAAGCATTTTGAAGTTAAGTCTAGATTAATATCTCAGTTTAGAAATTACTAGCTATGGGGAACTTCAACAACTTGACTGAGCCTCTCAGTTTTCTAGCTGCAGAACAGAAATGATAAAACTAACTTCATAATTGTTGTAAAGATAAATAAGATTAGGCTGATTAAATGAGATGTACTATATGTAATACACTTGAGCCCATCTCCTGACAAATGGTAACTGCTCAATGATGGTGCTGCTAACATCACTGCTCACACATAAAAAGCATTGAATAACTCAGGCAATATTTAGCCATTTCAAATATAAAAGTCCACTACAGGCTGGGCGCGGTGGCTCACGCCTGTAATCCCAGCACTTCGGGAGGCCCAGGTGGGCAGATCACGAGGTCAAGAGATCAAGACCATCCTGGCCAACATGGTGAAACCCCGTCTCTACTAAAAATACAAAAATTAGCCTGGTGTGGTAGCACGTGCCTGTGGTCCCAGCTACTCAGGAGGCTAAGGTGGAAGAATCGCTTGAACCCAGGAGGCAGAGGTTGCAGCAAGCCAAGATTGCACCACTGCACTCCAGCCTGGCAACAGAATAAGACTCCATCTCAAAAAGAAAAAAATCCACTATATATTGAGACAGCCTCTTTCAAAAACCCAACACAAATTTCTAATATTATACCAAGTCACAGGTCTTTAATTATTAACATGAAGGTAATCTTAAAACAGTAAAAGCAACAGTATTTACGTGATTAGTGAAATGGGTACTGAAAACATCTAAAAAAAAAATAATAGTTTTTTAAGAGTCAGAAAACCAAGGTAAAAATTAAATGCTATTCTTAAATACTGTTTTCAGAATATCCCTTTATACTTGTTTTATGTATATTCTGTTTTACTATGTTACAAATGTCCAAAAGTAATAAAAACAAAGGTTTCCAGCCTGGGTAACATGGTGAAACCCTGTCTCTACCAAAAAACACAAAAACTAGCTAGGCATGGTGGCCCGCGCCTGTAGTCCCAGCTTCTTAGGAGGCTGAGGTGGGAGAATCTCTTGAACCCAGGAGGTGAGGTTGCAGTGAGCCAAGATCCCACCACTGTACTCCAGCCTGGGTGATAACAGAGCAAGACCCTATCTCAAAAAAAAAAAAAAAAAAAAAAAGAGGGTTTCTTTGATGTTTCAACAGAAAATCATTTCCATAATAAATATCTAAAAACCCAGTATGGCTAAAGAAACTTAAAAACTTTATTCTTTAAAGTAACTCAAAATATTTTTCAGAACTACATTTATCTTCTGAGCATGAGATTCCTGAAATGCAGTCACAATACCTGATAGTGTATATTCAGTACCCTTAATATTATCAATTATCTCCCAGCATCGCTCATCCTTCACACGTGGAAGTCCATCAAAATTAGTCTTCCTATGTTCCAGTATAAAATGGTCAATCTTATTATCTTCTTCTGGCATTCTCCAAGCTACTGTTACAGAGTTATCTGCCACCAAACACTCGACTGGATCTATCTCTGGAGCTTTGGGGACTGCAAAGAAGAAAAAAAGGACTCATACATTCCTCATTTATTAGCACTAATCAAATATCTGTATCATTCAAATTGCTTTTTCATGCTGCTTTTAAACTGCTCAAAAGTAGATCGGATTAAGCAAAAGGATATCCTATAAATGTAAAATAACTATTTTTCAAAGTACATGCTAAGGATAAAGAATCAAGAATGACTTGATACTTCAGAACATATTATACTTTTAATATAATATTTCAAATAACTGTGGAATACAAATTATATCAACATTAACAAACAGAATAAATTGCTTTGAATATGATGATTAAAATAATTCAAGAGTATATTTTCACTCTTGAATGTATTTTTAAAATCTCATTTACCTAAGAATTGTAATTTCTCAGGACTAAACAAAAATTAATTCCCCAACCCTGCAAAATACTTAAGGATTTCTGAATGTTCCTCCCAAGATTCTACATTTCATTAAAATAAACTGAAGTAAATGAGCCACATTTAACATGTATGAACATTAATTTCTTTTCCATGAAAGACATATTTCATAGCTTTTTAACATCAACACATGTTCCATGGACATAACAACTGTAGAACACGGTCCTCCAGTGATACAGACTTGTCTGAACTGTGTAAAACTATGCAGTCCAGCAGGTATCAGATTTAAACATTTTATTACTAAAAATAAAATTCAAAAGGTTTATTCCTGTTATGCAGGGCTAAACATTTGAATTTATCACATTAACTGCAGAAAAATTATATAATCATATCAATAAATAAAGAAAAATACCAATTATAAAGGAAAAAATAAAACTCTTTGTGAATGACATGACTGTCTATGTAGAATATCCAATGAATATAAAATTCCTGGAACTAACAAGTGACCATAGAAGGGTTGCAGGACACAAGGGATGAATAGGTGGTACAGAAGGGAATTTCAAGGCAGTAAAACTATTCCGTATGGTAATATAATGGTAGACATAAGACATTATACATTTATCAGAATCCACAGAACTGCTTAACACAAAGAGTAAATGCCAATATAAAATATAAACTTTAATAACGTATCACTGTTGATCAATTATATCAAATGTACCACATTAATGCAGAATAGCAATAACAGGGTATATTGTATATGGGGGAGGTAGTGGGTTTATGGTAACTTTCTGTACTATCATGCTCAATTCTCCACAAATATAACCCTGTTCTAAAAAACAAAGTAAAGTTGGCCCTCTGTATCCACAGATTCAATCAACCTTGGATCAAAAGATATTCAGAAAAGGTAAAAATAACAATACAACAATAAAAAAATTAAAACTACAGTGCAACAACTATTAACATAGTGGTTATATAGTATTAGGTATTATAAGTAATTAGCGATTACTTAAAGTATATGAGAGGATGTGCATAGGTTATATGCAAATAACCATTTTTTACGAGGGACTGGAACATCTGTGGATTTTGGTAATTCAACAAAGGTGCTAGAACCAATCCCGCACAAATACTGAGGGATGACTTTTGCTAAGTTTTTTTAAAACCACAACAGTAACAAAATAATTATATATAAAAGTTAAGATGCATAGCAATATGAGACCTAACAAATAATAAACTCAGTAAAATAACACCAAGATGAAACAAATTTGACTTAGAAGTATGATCGATTTCCACTAACTACAGAGTCTCCCCAAAGTTAAACTCTGCATGTGTAATTGTACAAAAAATACTTAGAATAGGATATAACTTATTAGTAAGGCAACTGACAACCAAAGAAGCATTTATTATTTGTCATTGCCATCAGTTTCCTTCATCTGTCTTGTAGGATTTTCGTCTTTATAATCAATAACATTTGTTACTCTTTATTACTGAAACATAAGAATTATTGACTACTATTCACTGCCAAGAGAAGGCAATCATGAATTTAATATGCTCTGCTATGCCTACATGGAAATGTAAAGGCCATCGTCTATAGCAATTTGAAAATTTTGCTGAGTCATAAATCTGCAACTAAAAGTCCTGAGAGATTGGTATAAAAAAAGTCACTTAATTGGTGAGTAGGCCTAGTTAGCTCCCTACTCTTTACCACTCCATTCAGCTGCTATTCTAGTAAGACTGCACTGGCAGGCAGATTCTTCTTTCTTGTGAATAATGGTCCCCAAAAGAAAGCCAATTGATAAAATGGAAACTGAAGTTAAAAAGAAAAAACAAACCTAAGAAAGTGATGACATGTGGGAGGGACAAAGAATATTTAGATAATTTAAGAGTGGTATATCAAAATTAAGGTTGACTTGGATGTAACATGTGGGAAGTTCACTCTAGATTTTATAGAGAAGAAAATAATTCCCCAAATAAGGCATATACATTCAGGGAAAGATGAAAGGTAGTATATTTATAACATAAAAATATTACTTAGGAAATGCAGAACTCTTTGGAAGGAAAGCAATCCACACATCTACCTACATATTTCCATAAAGCAACAGTGACTAACTAGCAATAGTGCAGAAATTAGTTGAAGAAGTTACTAAATGCTTTCTCTGCATCTGAATGTAAAAGGATAAGTGGCATCAGCATTGCCAGACTTATTTCTTTTCTTAGCTCCAGAAACTCAGAAAGGAGAAAGGATATAAAGTCAAAATTTCAATGCATAAAAAATGGCTAAGAGTAGATAATGACTTCGTAATTATCACTGACCATCATCACTACCACTGTTAAGACTCGGATATGTCCATAACTAATATTACTACACAAAATATACTCTAGAATAGATTATAGTGATATTGATAAAATTAAGAGATAGAGATATTTCTTCATTTTATAAGTTAATTTGATTCATGTTTATGCTATAGATTATTAAAAATTAGAGATTTAAATGCATTCTTCATTAATTTTTAAAACCTATTATATTTTTCTGCTGGGCACAGTGGCTCATAGCTGTGATCCCAGTACTTTGGGAGGCTGAGGCGGGAGGATCACTTGAGCCCAAAAGTTTGAAACCAGCCTGGGCAACAAAGTGAGACCCCATCTCTACAAAAAATCAGAAAAATTTAATTGGGTTATGGTGGTACATTCCCGTGGTCCCAGTTACTCAGAAGGCTGAGGCAGGAGAACTGCTTGAGTCCAGGAGGTTGACACTCAGTGGTTCTGCCACTGTACTCCAGCCTGGGTGACACAGCAAGACCCTGTCTCAAAAAGCTTTCTTTCTTTCTTTCTTTTTTTTTATTATACCTCATTCCTTTAACTGTCTTAATAGTTTACCAAAAGGGGAAATCCTAACTGTTCATGCAATCTACTTGACTATACAATAAGCATGGTATTGGTCTGTTAAGCTGTCACTGAAAGCCCCAAAGAAGGGAAGTAATGGTAAGAAGACTGCTTTTTAAATCGTTGTTTTTTTAAAATCAAAGTAGTAGCAATAGCTATGTGTATGTTCACTCTCTGTCAGACTTTAGAAGTGATGGAAAATCTAGATAAAGAAAAATGATGATGTATACACTGGATTTTAGGGGGGAAAGTTCTGCTTACAACAGAAAACATTACGGGAAAAAATGTTATAATTGGTATTAGTGATTCACATGAGAAAACTGAGAAGGGGGTAGAAAAAACAGTTAAAGTCTCAACTGCTATAAATCAACATGTAAATTCTCCAAGTACAAGTAAAACAGTGAACTTGAAATAAATACAAAGTGAAAAATACAATTTCAAAGGCATCAATGAAACAAGATTTTCTTCATAAGTTAAATAGAAAAGTAAAAAATAATGGTAGTAACAACAATAGCGATCATTTATTGAGTGCTTTCACTTTAATCCTTACCATTACAATACCATAAACTTTATATTATCATTATCTTTATTAGGGGCTCAAAGATGTCAAAGTAACTTGCCCAAGATTACAGAGCTAGACAATTAAGAAAGAAACAGTATTTAAACATAGATAGTCTGACTTAGAGACAACAGCCTTTAACTATTCTTAAAGAAAGGCACTCTAAGCTAAGGCCATATATATTAGTATATAAAAATATATAAAATCGAAGAACTGTAGTATGCAGAAAGATACCTGAATAATGATGAAAAGAAAAAAACATGTTATAATAGTTAAACTATCTGGCCAGGTAGTAATGAGTGATCTAAAAAACTAACACAAAGGGATAAATGATAGAAACCAAACTGACCTGGGAACCTAAAGGCACAATCTCTGAAAATTTCTGACTTTGCCTTATTGGTAATTTATAATAACCTGGGAAGTAGAGTCTGTGTTTGGTAAACTAACTTTTTTGGACCTAAGTATGACCAATAACAAGAATACTGATTTAAACATGGAAATGATGGCTGGGTTCAGTGGTTCATGCCTATAATTCTAGCACTTTGGGAGGCTACGGCTAGAGGATGGCTTGAGGCCAGGAGTTTGACACCAGCCTGGGCAACACAGCAAGACCTCCATCTTTACAAAAAAAAAAAAAAAAATTTAAAAATTAGCTCGGTGTGGTGGAATGCACCTGTAGTCCTAACAACTCAGGAGGCTGATGCGAGAAAGACTGCTTGAGTCCAGGAGTTAGAGACTACAGTGAACTATGATAATGCCACTGCACTCCAGCCTCGGTGATACAGAAAGACCTTGTCTCAGAAAATAAGGAAGTGTAAATGATGAGAACCTTAGAAATAAGCAACAATGGGCCGGGCACAGTGCCTCATGCCTGTAATCCCAGCACTTTGGGAGGCCAAGGAGGGTGGATCATGAGGTCAAGAGATCGAGACCATCCTGGCCAACACAGTGAAACCCCGTCTCTACTAAAAATACAAAAAAGTTAGCTGGGCATGGTGGCCCATGCCTATGGTTTCAGCTACTCAGGAGGCTGAGGTGGAAGAATCACTTGAACCCAGGAGGCAGAGGTTGCAGTGAGCCGAGACTGCACCACTATACTCCAGCCTGGTGACAGAGCAAGACTCCGTCTCAAAAAAAAAAAAGAAAGAAGCAACAATGTCATCTTAAAGAATTCATGAAAACCAGCGCAAGGGAT